ATAACACCTGCAACATAGACGGGCGGGCACCTCGTACCCAGAGCACACCCGGCAGCGGCAGCACCACGGCCCCCAAGCCCAAGCGGAAGCGCCCCACCCTTGCAGAGCAGCGGGAGCAGCTGAGCACGTGGCGGAAGAAGGTCCAGGCCATCCGGGCCCAACTGGAGCGCACCACGGATCGAGCCACCAACCGGGTCCACGACAAAGAACACCCTATTACGGCACGTGAGCTCGCCATCCTCATGGAAGACATGACGGAGGATCTCGCTGAGCAACTCACCTCGGTCAGCAAGATGCTGCAGAACGCTCGGGACCGACTCTGAAGAACGACTATGAACGAAACTGAATCCGGATCCGGCTACGAAAACGACAAAACCACAAACAAATCGAAATAACGACAAAGCTCCATAGATAAAAATACAAAAAACATAAAATCGTAGGGTGGGTGGTTGGCACTATATAGTATATGAATACACATAGCTATATAACGTACAGTTGCACGTGTCGTGGCTGCCAGCGGGTGATGGTTAGTAGGCGCATCCTGACACTGGGCATGCTCAACTCGCATGTACGTACAGTGACAAATCTTGCACGCGTGTGACAGTGTCGACAGCCACTTCTCACGTCCCAATGGTGTGTCGACGAAGTGTACTGCCTCTCGTACTTGCGTCGGGAGTGATGACGGCAAGCTGTGACTGGACCGACATCACTTGCAGCCACTTGCGATGTTTCGAGGCCTGACGACAGTGTCGACACCTGTATCCATGTCGCAGCCGACCTCCGCGACACTGTTCGCTGCACACGGCGACAAGGCCAAGGTCTAACGATGTTTCACCCAACCTGGCGGGCTTATCGACTCTGTCGAATGCCTTTGTGATGTAGTTCGAGTGCTTATCGAGCTCTGTCGACGTCCTCGACGCAACTTGCCAATGACGTGTCATGTGCCAAGTCTTATCAGACACCGCAAAACTATATAAAGGCAGCTTCTAGGCGGTTCCCCACGTTCTTAAACGACTCTGCATCGTTCCTATCGCTCGAATCGACAACTCGAAACACCTCGAAACCTCTTTCGCATCTGAATCATCGCTATCGGTATGTCTCGCTGTCATCGATACTACCGACGACAGCTATCGCACTGCTGACGTCATAGCCATGGGATACAAACGAACTGCCAAGGTTGCTGCGACAGCCCGTGACATGCGCTCGACACGCACGAGCACCACCGTCGCCAACCGTGTGACTGTCGCCCCTGTCGCCAAAGTCAAGGCTGCCCACGGCAAGTCACTCGCCATGAACCGCAAGCGTCTGACTCCCACCGTCAATAAGCGCCACCCCATCGTCTGGATCGACAACACCGGTTTTGACTTCGGTGCCTATCCCGCCTGGCCGAAGATGTCGAAGCCCACCAAGCAGACCGCTGCGTCTGTCGAATCCTCTGACGCTGTGTTCGATGGTGACTCGACTCCTGGCTCTGCCGACGACAACGCCATCGCCCCACACGGGAACTTGAACCATGCCGTCGAGACTCACGACAGTGACGCCGAAGATGCCAACATCACCGACGATGATGCAGCCGCCTTCGATGGTGGTGGCGACAGTGACTCTGCTGACCTCGAGGGTCACAGCGACAACTCAGTTGCAGCTGACGCCGCTGCTGCTGATGTCTCGGGGGACGACGACGACATCGATGTCACAGCTGCAGTGGCTGGCGATGACGACGACTTCTTCGTTAACAACGACACTTCGCCGTCGCACGACTCGGACGACGACTCTGTCATCGAGACGGGTTCGAACCAGGTCATCAGCAGCGGCGACTTCTCGGCCCTGCCGTTCTTCAAGGAATTCCGCACTCTGGCGTCGCTTCATGCTTCCGAGAGGGACGCCATCTATGCCGAAACCACTCGCCTGCCTGTCGACGTCGACAAGTGGGAAGTCGCCATGTCGCCGACGTTCTATCTGCGCCACATCGACACACCCGTCGCCTGCGTTCGGCTCGCTTCCCATGCGCCCAAGTCGAAACCTCGTCGCAAGGACGAACCGAAGACTCCATTCGACGGATGGCTGCTCCTCGCTGACGACGTCCACCTTATCTTTGTCGACCCAGCGATCAAGGCACCGTTCTATCGTGAGCTCAAGAAAACCCACATCGTTCGGCCGAGCCGCTTCCCGTGGGTGTCGTCGACAGGCGGCGCTGCCATTCCGATCTGTCGCTTCGTGGAATGCCTTCAAGTCGCCCACTGCTCGACAATTCGACTGAAGCAGTACGGCCAGAAAATGCCTATCGACAAGCGCTACATCACTCGTCCCATCGCCGACGCAGAGCACCGCCTCAGCGAGCACAACGAGTGGGACATCGGTACCAACTTCGAGTCGTCGGTCATCTGGCTCTTCAGCCCCGTCAATGGAAACATCTCTCGACACTTGACGACATTCCCGATGATCATTCCGGGCTCCCTCGACTATGGCTCGGTTCAAATTATCACTCGCTTCAAGCACCGAGACTTTCGTATCAAGATCTACCCTCGACTTGTGCACGTCATCAAGTCGATCAACAGTCGACTGCAAGGCGAGCCTCCCCAAACTGTCCGAAACATCAAGCGAAAGGGTGCCGCTGCCCAGGCGATGGTCCAGGAGCTGACGACGATCTCATCGAAGGAGATGGGCGGCTTTCGAATTGAAGTTTCGGTGCGGGCGAGGACTCTCGGTGAGGCGCAGCGCATCGTTAACGACACTGGTTTCCTTCGCCCGAGTACTTGGGTGAACTCGTCTGATGGCCCGCTCTCTCGATTCCGACTCGACGTCAAAGTCGTCACCAAGCAAGGCCTCATCGACAATGCGAACTGGGTCTACCGACAGTCAGTCGCTGCAGGCATCTACTCGGGTGGTGACCACACTGCAGCGACAAGCCTCGACAAGCGCATCTCTCTTGACGTCTTCAACTCGCTAGGTTGGAACGCCGGTCTGCGTACTCCGACACGCTCACTCGACCCAGTCGCCTGGTGGCGCACTGTCGAGATCTCTGACGAGGCTATGTCAGAAGTCGAGCTCCTCGCCATCCTCAACCGCCTCTACCCGACAGACCTCGACAAGCGTAACCTTGTGGCGATCATCCGAACGAAGGGCAAGAAGAAGGGATTTCCCTGTCGCAAGAACGAAAAGCACAGCTACGACATCAAGGCGCGTCATCCGCCGCGCTGGCAGTGCCGCGACAAGTCGTGCAAGGACAACCTCCCTCTCGGCCAAGCGATGCGCTGGGTCGCTCAACTCATCATCAACGACTGGGTCCCCCGACAGGCTGTGGGCATCCCGTCTGCCAGGCGGCAGAGCGACACAGCGGACGACAGCCGTCGGGTCACCAACGACAAGCTCGGCGTCGTTCACCGTACCCCACTCAGCAGTGTCACTCCCCCTCGCCGCATCGACAAGGCATTCCGCCCACCTCCCGCCATCAATCGTCTCCGCTTCGAAGTCCCCGGCATGTCTCGACTTGTCCGACTTCCTGTCGAGCCTGCCTACTATCGCACGAGGTGGACAATCGGTGACGGCAACTGCCAGTTCCGTGCTTTCGCCAAAGCGTACGGTGGAATCGACCACATCGCTGCTCGCAAGGCTGCTGTCGACTACATGTTCGAGAACTTCAAGCAGTTCGAGGCCTTCTACGCTGACGACGAGATGGAGAAGCAGTACGGCGACTTCGACATGTACCTCGACGCCATGGCGAAACAGTTCGAATACGGCGACCAGCTGACGCTCGCTGCCCTCGCTGCGTCGTACAAGGTCTCGATCAAGGTTCTTCACATGTCGCACACTCTCGACTATGAGTGGGTTGACGGCGGTGACAGCGACAGCGGTCGAGTCATCAAACTGTTCTTCAACGCCGGCACGAAGCACTACGAGAACCTCGTCGCTGCGAGGGACCTGTAGTCGACAGCTGTCGACAGTGGCGGAAATGATTAAGTAGTGAACGAAATGCTATCAGAATGTCTCGAAAGCTGTGTGGTGCAGTGGCAGGCGACTGTGAAGACGAGGGGTCACTGACGACAAGGAGTCGACATCACTCGGAATGTCGACAGGCTGTCGGAAGTCTCTCGACAGTGCACCGACGCAGTGTCGTTTGGACTTAGCCAAAATTTCAGCTGCCCAGAGTGGTGTAACTGGTCCACGTGCACCCGCAAAGGAGCTGGAGCGATGAAACTTGGTGACGTCATAGATATCCCCTAGATATGTTTCCACGTGAAACGGCCGATCCCTAGTCACAGTTCCGGTCACGTTTTCACCCATGTTTCTGTGCTGAAACTTCAAAGTGCCGAAAGTGTGACCGAAAATGGTCTCCGCGCAGAGTGGGGTAGCTCAATCTGCAGCAAAAAAATCACTCTTTCAGAGTACGTAATAATCCAGAGGGCGATTTTTGGCACCCCCCACCCCCGCCCACACATGTAACCCCTCTAGCTCCAAGCCAACCCCTGCCCGTGATCCGCGTTCATGCCCCTATGCCCGTGATGTCCCATGGTTCAGCCGTCGATTCGTTCATTTGCTCATGGATTCGCGGATTTGCGCGATCCAACTGTCATCCGCGCTACGGGGCGTTGATCTGTGGCACGACGAACTCTGTGACTCGCGGATCTGGGCTGGACCATGGCAGCGTGGACCAGCGGATGCGCTCGCCTGCAGTGGGTCTTACATCTCATGAGACCGGGAGCCAAGACAGGATTGTCAGAAGCGAGAGTGCGCGCAGCCGAGCAGCGCGAGATGTGCGAGGTGCGGTGTGACATGCCTCGCGTGAATGAGACGTGGACGCTGACGAAGTTCGAAGCGCAGCAGCAGCGCATCAGCTGTCCTGCATGTTCTGCGTACTACGTCAGCTGCTCTGCGTCAGCTGCGGTAGAACACAAGATATGCAGGCATCTGCTCGACGGAAACGCCGGGGCAGGTATGCTCCGAGACTGCTGGCGGCCTGGCGGACGCCCGTACGCCCCCGTCCAAGCGCAAGCACTTCCCCCACCCTTGCCTTCCAGATCGATCAACGATCCGCACAGATGCACAGCGACCAGTGGGGGCGGCTGCTCAGGAGCGCACATGGGAAGCCAAGGGGCGGCCGGGGTGGCACGTGTGGGGAGGTTGTTTCGGTGTATGCGGCGTAAAGCTCGTCAAGGCCAGCGCACTGACGTTCGCTTCTGATCTCGTGTCGACGGGAGGCGGCGCTCAGACCTTTTCCTCCCCACCTTGTTGCTCCACTTGGACGTTTAGACCACTCCACGCCCCCACCAGGGCCCACCACGGGAGTGCCGGCGCGCCAGAGAGTGTCTGTCCGCCGGATAGCCACGGAGGAGGCTCGAGCGGTCAGCTGTCGAGACGCAGGGAAGAGACGAGGCGGGGCGACGAGGGTGCCCCAGATCTTCAGAATGCTTGGCATGGCAGCCTGTCGTGCTTGAATGACCGGGGGCGTTGCGCCTTTGTGCGAGGCCCGCAGCTGTCGACCAACGGGGGACAAAGTTGGGGGTGGGTCTGGCGCCTGCCGCACAGAAGCGGGCAAAGCCGCCGCGCTCGTGACGCAGCCGACGCGCTTGCATTGGTCCGGTGGTTGCGGTGGAGGGGTGGTGGAGGCATGGAGGGGCAGCAAAGTCATGAGATTTCGGGCAGCTGTTGGCCAAGTTGGCGAGTTGGCCAGCTGGGATGCCGCAGCCGCCCACCGGGTCCACCAGACCACTTTTGTTCCAAGCCATGTCCAAGCCAACCAATACAGCCTTGAGGCGGCAGGAGGAATGAGACTGCTTAATGCTGCGAAAGTGAGAGTCCAGGCGCCCCAGCCTAGTAATGTGGCTGCCGTGCCCATGGCGAGCGGGGGCCGGAGCCTGAGCCTCAATGCAGCCAGAGTGAGACCCTGCGAAACGTTTTGGGCACGGGGGCTGAGGCGTGTTGACCTTCGAGCGGGCACCCCCCACCCCCGCCCACACATGTAACCCCCCAACACTACACCCAACACAGGTGTCTAAGAGTTATATACACACGAAGCAGTTTTCTCGATAGTAAACGTGAAAGGCGTCGTGGTATGTATGCGGCATGCAACAAGAGTGCTGGAAGGCTCCCCTTCACTTTTTTCGATCGGAATCTCGCACTTCTGTCAGCGGTAAATCGATTGGAATCAACTTTCATTATGGGCAGTAATGTCCTGGAGCGACGGATAAAGAAGCCAGGGCATTGTTTGGATTAGATTACTGCCATAACCTGAACCGTTTCACTGTGTCCCGGGCTATGTCCTGGTTTACAAAGAAGGTGAAGTTCAAGCGCTCGCTTGCTGCCACATCCTGGGATTCACAGTGCACACCATGGAGCAGGTCGCCACCAGTGAATGCCAGCAACTGTCCAGACTGAATGAGGATCCGGTAGCCAAGGTTTGGAAAGTCCATTGCCAGTTGGCAAGATCCTGCCCCCCCCCCCCCCAGCCACTGGGATCGATAGAGAAGCTGTAAGACACAGCTCCCCTCTCATTCCAGTCATGGAAGTCGATGTGGCGGCGTTCAGCAAAGCCCTTGGATACCTGCAAGGTGGTACCCATGAGACCAAGCCGAAGTGGCTTAGCATTGAACTCACACTCATACTTGGTTTGGACTTGTTCCACACCTGCCGTGATAGCCGAAGGACGAAGGGTTTTGTAATCATTCACAGTGGCAAAGTTGCAGATTTTGGTGCAAACATTGTGGGCTCCGAGGTCCATCTCCTTGACCTTGCGCTTGAGAGGGAGAAGAACATAGTCGATGGCAGCCATGAAGCGCATGATGTAACGCTGGCGTGTAGCATCCCCTCCCTGCAAGGTGTCAGAGGTGAAGAAAGACTCACGAGCCGAAGGTCGCCAGTAGCCCAGCAGCAAAGGCTTGAGGTTGTAGGAAGAACGATTGTTTTGCTGATTGATGGAGGAGGTGGTGGTCTTGAAGATTTCGGGGCAGCGTTGAAGGAGTAGGTGATACCCCTCCCAAAGGATGTGCTGGCAACGCTCTGAGAGGAAAGTGTCGCGTCGCCAAACCCAGAAGTGTGCTCTGAGGGACAGGGGGCAAGGAAGGGTGGTGCCCTCCTGGTGTTGTTGCTCGCCATTGGTGTCGAAGGGACAAGCATCTTTATCGCGATGCTCATGCATGCCATTGTTGTTGTAAGGACACACATCAGGCCCGGGGCATTTGTTGTTGAAAGGGAAGGTGATGAGGAGGTTTTTGTTGGTGGTAAGCCTGGTGAGGGTTGTGTCTTGGAACTTGGTGATGGCAGCTTGCATGGCAGACTTTGAGTGATGGGTGACGAGCAGCAGCTGATCCTGTGCCGAGGTCCTAGGTGGAAGGACACTAACAATGATTTCCCTGCGTTTTTGAGGCATCTAGAGTGTTAGTATGCATGGTACATGGTCAGATTATGTTAGTATGCATTGCTACCTACCGTTTGCAAAAATTCCGGTTGGATTTGGTTGAGAAATGGGTGAGATATAGTGATGTTTGATGGTGAGCAGCTGGTCGTGCTGGTGGAGGTTTCGGGTGGATGGATGAGTGCGCAGGTGCACGCGTTTTCATTTTGACAACACAACATCCTTGGCATTTTCCAGCACTGGTGTTACTACTGCCTCGTGGTCCCAGCAGCTGAATTCTGCCTCTCGACACCTGCCCTCCACAGGCAGTACCTGCTGACTGGTGTTACTACTGCCCCGTGGTCCCAGCATCTGGCAACTGGCCTCTCGACACCCGGCAACTGGCTTCTCACGTCTCGACACCTGCTGCCTGGTGCTACTACTGCTCTGTGGGCCCAGGAAGCTGCAATTGCGCCCCTGGCCAAACTGCCCCCCGGGCATAGCAGCACCTGTGAGTTTCACCCCAAAATCACCTTTTTCCATGCATCCACCTCAATTCTCAACATTTCTGCGCGATTCAACAACTGGCCCACTGCCTGCAACGAGCTCTATCGACTGGTGTTGGAATCTTGGATCTGCATGCATGCATTGCAGAGATACAGGTTCCACGGACTCTTGGCAATCTTAAGTGGGGGGAGCAAATAATGCCACCGTACGGTGAGGTTTTGACTTAGCGGGGTGGTGCAATCTACGTAGCATAAATAGAGCAGAGGAGGCACGGTTGCCTCCTCGTTGATGAATGTTCATTGTCTTCTACATAGAGCTAGCTCGTAGTCTTCGACTCGACTTGTATCTCCAACTATCCGATCTCGTGCCCTCGCGACCTACGCTCGGGCAGGGTCTGACACCACATATATGAATGTTCCGTTGTTTTCAGCTGCCAGTCGCACCCTGTCGATACACGACCTCAAAGGTGGAACCTCCCTGATAACTTGACTACGAGCCGCACGACGACCCGGGCAAGGTTTAACATTGATTGTATCAGTTGGGGTCGTTGGACGCACTGTCAATATATGTCCTTCCCGTCACGAGATGTGCAGACTCCATGCGTGAAAGCTCCCCAGACGCCTGCAAGTGTAGGCGTTTCTGATCAGATAACCCACACGGATCTCATGAGCTTAGATCTCAGAAAAACTTGAGCTTTGCGACGAAACGATTCTGATTGCTCGGAGGACGATGAATGTCAGCACTCTCTCCGATGGCTTCCTCCGGCCGGTGGCTCGAAGTTCCTCTGCCTGTCGACAAGAGGCCCTGCCCGGCATGGCCCTCTTTCTCGTTGCGCCGCATCTGATATCTGTCTTCACCGTGCCCATTACATGCTTAACCACCCCGTAACACTTACACGTTCTCATGGTCTTGAATTTGGTTTTGCGCTCCGCCTGCAGAGCAGAGCAGAGCGGCCATTTCGGGAGAAATCAAGACAGCACAGGCACAGCGTGGAGTTAACTCTCGATGTCAGTCCATTACCACGCTTGACACGTCTCTAGCCTTCAGTCCACGGCCGGCGCTTAAGTCTTTTCATGGAATACATCATTGCTTAACAACTAGGAGGGCACGGTCTGAGTTCACGCCTTGGTGGGCTCGGCGCCGTACATGGCGAGCACATGCCTGTCGACGTATTCGCGCACACTGATGGGCGGGTACTTTGCGGGGTTGGTCTCGGAGAAAGTACCAGGGATAGCCTTGACAATGGCCTCGGCGTCGGCGCCACAGAAGTAGGGGAGGGAGAAGCGCTCGGGCTGGAGGGGTCCAGAGTCTGCCGAACGGCGGGGCGGAGCGACGCGGTGGGTCGTGGAGCGGAGTCCGTCGTTAGACCAGCGCTGCAGCAAGTCGCCAATGTTGAAGACGCAGGTCGATGGCGTGACGGGCGGCGCGGGGACGAAGACGCCGGGGCGCTTGGGGTCCTCGACTTCAAGGCCGCCAACGTTGTCCTGGAACAGCAGCGTGAGGGTGCCAAAGTCGGTGTGCGCGCCGGTGCGCGTGTTGTCGGGCGACTCGGTAGCCGGCCAAGGCAGCGACGGGTAGTGCAGCAGGCGCAGGTAGTTGTCCTGGTGCGAGTGGTAGCTGTCGAAGAAGCCCTTATCGATGCCGGGCATGCCGATCGAGAGCGCTGTCAGAGCCTTGTTCCGAACGGCGGAGCAGAGATCCGACCAGTGCTGGAGAGCGGCGCGGAAGCCGGGGAGGTCCTCCTCGTCGGGCCAATTGTTCGGGTAGTGGTACGATCCGTCGGCATCCTTGCGGGTTTCTGCTATCAGCGGCGGGAAAGTTGAGGTCACTCACGGACGTCAAAGGACTGCTTGTTGTCACCGCTGTTCTTGTCGGGGTTGTCCTCGCCGCGGAGGATGCGTGTAACCTGCTCCTGGCCGATGCCGGAGTAACCACTGAATGTTAGCTCGTGCCACCGAGCAACGGCCGTCTGTACTCACCCGCAGCGGGGGGTCTCGGCAGTGCGCGGGAGGATCTTGCACTTGGCCTTGGCCTCATCTGGAAGGCTGTGGAAGCGGCGCGACCAGTCGAAGATGGTGTTCACATCGCCGTCGGCGATGCCAGTGTTGGTGAGGTACGCAAAGCCGACATCTCGGCATGCTTCGAAGAACTGCTTGCCAATCTTCTCATCGAGCTGTGCGTGTTAGCGGTGCTTGCGGTGTGGTAACTCACGTCAGTGTTACCCTGGTCGAAACCCTCAAAGTCGATGATGGGCAAAAGACCGAGAGTGGTGGGAGTGTCGTTGGCCATGTTGGGTGGGTGTAGGGGGGTCCTTAAGTAGTGGTGGAGGTAGCTTGTGCTGCAGTGCCGATATCAGGCGCTTCAGGAGTAGATATACACATGGTGTCGACTGCCACCGGCGTGGAGCATGACGCGCGTTCTCGCTGCTCCGTGTCTGCTTGGAATACCCGCCTCGGCCTGGATTACTCACACACTGTGGGCATGGCCGAGGCTGCCGCAGTAGATGGAGCGCAGAGGTCGGGGGGCGAGCTTTGAGACCGAGAGTAGAATGAACTCTGTTAGTGCGTAGCGGCACACTTTACGTCCGACATCCGAGATTGCTTGGAATGGAACACATGTGATTCGCCCTAGAATGCGGCGGGTGCACATGTCAAACATGCCAGACGCCGAAACGCTCACATGGCCCTGGCCCTTCGATCGCAGAAACCTGGAGCTTAATCTGTTGATTCAGTGTGAGCTCGGGGACCGAAGCACCTTGGAAGCCCGGGACTCGACGTCATGCCACCCAGGAACCCACTCACCTGCCGTGCAAGACGAAAACAACCGCGTCCAGGATGGTGTGTCGAAATTGACGATATACTTTTTCTGGAGGCGGCTTTTCCCCATATGCCCCCCGTGCCTGACACAATTCGACTTCCACCTGTCACCGCCCAGGATGATCGGCAGCCGCCGGCATGTATATCGCCCCACAACGGCGCGTGATCAACCCTCATGCATGTTGCTCCTGAGGATCTGAACCACGTCGCCCCTTGCCAGTATACAGGTAAGCTGCTCCGTTCGCCAGACGACTCCACTGTACTGGAGGGGGTGACATCGGCGGGCTGCAGAATCACCAGTCCTCGGCAGTCACCAAACAGACACACGCGGGGCTTGTCACGTGACTGGATGGCCCCCTACCCCTCCTTTCAAAGGTCTGACAGGCAACGGCGCTGTGAAGAAGGTGTCAGTGACTTGCCCAACCCCGCCAATGCTACACTGTTAGCCTTAATCGGCACGCAGGTGGGACAGGAGACCTTAGGAGCAGACCCAGCACTGCAAATGTTACGGAGAGCATTGTTGTAAGCAGCGGCGGAGGCGCACAGGACAACCTACCTGTACTGAGAGCGAAGCCTGTTCCTCGTCAAGCACGCGCTTCTCTGACGGTGCACGACTCCATCTCACAAGGCCGACTGCACATGCTCCAGCGAGCGCAGCGAGACGCCGTCGGCGGGATGAATCGGCTGCCAAGACACGATTTCGGGCAAGCAGGTTCCGTGCCTCCATCCGGACCGACTTCCTGATTGGCCGGCGCGATCGGCCGAATCGCTATCTGATAAAAAACCATGTCACGGTCCGCTCATCGTCTTGACGTGCACCTCTCCATTCGTTCTTGCCACCCACTCTTGCCATTATCCATGATCTCGAGATGACCATGGCCGCCTCGCCATCTGCGGCGCTCGCTATCCTCCTCCTTGCTTCGATCACACAGGCTGCCTTCGTTGGCGGGCCTGGAGCTTGTTTCTCGGCATGCCGGCTCCCTCTCGAGTTCGTCTCGTTCGCCGACATCGACGGGCCGTCGACGTGGTCTCGCAAGATTGCATCACACGACTTCATGACCTCTCTTGTCGCGTGCATGGCAAGCTACTGCTCGCCTGAAGGCATCGACGCCGGTTGGGACCGCTTCGCCTCGATGCGTGACCTTGGAGCTCCCGGTACTCCGTTGCCCGCTTTCGCCGATGTGCTTTCGACGGTGCCACTGGAACCCCTCGTTGTTGACACGATCGCGAACCAGGGAAAGGTGTACAATGACACGATCCTTGTCTCGCGCAGCAACTTCGACGACGGTTATCACACAGACGTGAGCATTGCCAAAGACTCGACTGACAACAGATGGGGTTCGCGCGACAACTCGATCTCCACAACCTGTTCGGCTGGTGCATGTATGCGCTTTTGGCGGTCATGACTGCCATTGGGCTCGGGAACCGTCTCTTGGCGTATGCTGCACGACGGGGTACCGTGACTTGGACCGGCAACCTGTTGGAGCCGTGGCCCCGGCTCTATGCTTGGTATCGGCGTTACATCGGCACTCCGGCAATGATGGGCTACCGCAACGCTCAGCCGTGGGGCATCCTGACGATCCCAACACGTCTTCAGGCCATTCTCGTCGCGATCTACGTCACGCTTAACGTTGTTATGGGGTGCTACGGATACGACACGTTCGAGAACAACATGTTCTGGCTCGGACGCCAGGACCTCCAGCTTGCCCGCTATGTCGCCGACCGAACAGGCATCATGAGCTTCTACAACATGGTACTTCTGTGGTTACTGGCAGGGCGCAACGATATCATTCTGTGGCTCACGGGCTGGAGCTACCCTTCTCTGAACTTGTTCCACCGTTGGACCGCGCGCGTTGCTGTCGTCCAGGGACTCGTCCACTCGGCCGGCTACGCATACCTGAAGTGGGGCAAGTTCTGGCCGATGATGCGCGAGCGTTACTGGTGGAGCGGCGTGTATGGCATGCTGGCGATGGGAGCGCTCATCCCACTGTCGATCCTGCCGTTCCGGCGCTACGCGTATGAGGCATTCCTCCTCCTGCACATCGGACTCAGCGCTGCCTTCCTGGCGCTCATGTGCATCCACACGGACATGTTCGGATACGACCCTTTCGTTTGGCTCTGCGTCGGCATCTGGCTCTTCGACCGCGTTCTTCGCCTCCTCCGTGTCGTCGTGCTCAGCTATCGCACCCTTGGAGCGCGCAACGCTGTCGGCGTTGTGACCGCCATCGAGCCCGGTCTAATGCGGCTCAGCGTGGACACTAGCGTGCCCATCACGCCGCGGCCGGGAGACTACTACTTCTTGTACTCCCCTCACAGTCTGACGCCGTGGGAGAACCACCCCTTCACTCTCGCTAGCTGGGAAAAGCGTCGCGACCGGACCACCCTCCACTTCCTAATCGCGCCTCAGGCGGGCTGGACTTGGCGGCTTCGGAGGCGCATCGAGGCTGCGACCCTCAAAGGCGGAGAGTCTGCGCCCCTGGTGACGGCGCCAGAGGCCAGGCTACGCGTGCTCCTTGAGGGGCCATATGGAACCCGCGATCCCATCGACGAGTATGACCACATTCTCCTTCTCGCGGGTGGAAGTGGAATCGCTGCGATCCTCCCCTACGTCTACTGCCTGGGTCAGTCGTCGGATGGCAAGGCGAAGAAGCGCCGTATCAGCGTGGTGTGGACGGTGCGAAATGCGGCTTACGCGGCCGACGTTTTTTCGAATGAGCTGGCCCCTGAGCGCACCTCACACATCAGCCTCGACCTGTACCTTACGCAGGAGGAACCAGCGTCGGCACGTGCCTTCCTGGCTGGTCTCGAGGTTACGCTGGACAGCGGGTACGGTGCCGTAAACCCCAGCGAGGTCGGAGACAGGGAGCGCCGTGACGTCGTATTTTCGAAGGGCCGACCGCCTATCCGCGAGCTGCTTGCGGCCCAGATCGAGGCGCTCAGTGGGACAGAAGGATCGCGGCTGGCTGTGCTCGCGTGCGGTCCTGGGGCAATGATGGACGATCTGCGAGCGGACATCGCAGACGCCTATGGCTCTCCTATCCTCCAAGCCGACGCTTCCAGGCTCGACTACTGGCTCGAGTACTTCTAGCGGTAGTTCTTCACAGTGTTTCTTGTTCATGCTATGCTACAACTGTATCATTTTGCAAACCTTGTTGAGACTCAGATGCCATAGCTCTGACCAGGTTGCGCATTGCCCCAGACGTACTTGCCGACCTTGCCCCAAGTGTAGCCTTTCGCGGTGGGCTTGGGTCCATTCCCGGGGAGACGCTTGGCCTTCTCCTCGGGGCTCTCCAGCCTGCGGACGAGGGCGCGGCCAGTGTCGGTGAAACAGACGTGTTCGGAGGTGCAGTCGCGGTGAGCCCACTCGTCAGACGTCTTGTCCTTCATTTCGTCGAGCAGGACCTTGAGGTAAGGCAACTCTGCCTGAATCTCGGCACGGCCTTGGGTCTCAATGAACTTGATGTAGTCTGAAGGCCTTAGCTTTAGTGGGGTGGAGCGTACTAACTGTGGCGCGCCTTGTACAGGAGACGGGCAGGAGCGTAGCGGCCTTGGAGAACGGCGTCGATAGCCGCACCGCACAGGAGGGTGTCCTGAGTCATATCCCTACCGCTGGGAAGCATCTTGAACGAGGCCAGGAAGAAGTTGTTCCAGATTTGCGCGTCGCTGCCGTCAGCTTGGTCACGCTTTGAACATACAGCTCAGCCAGACCAGTGTTGTAAGCTTGCTCGGCCGTCAGGAAGGCGGGAGACGCGAACCAGGGAATCAGGTCGATGATGCCCTCCATGTAGCCCATCTGCGCGCGCGAGTAGCCTGATTGGGTGCCCAAGCGGTACAGTCTTCCATCAGCTTAGCACCCTATGAGTGAACCCACGCGTTCGCCTCCTCCTTCGTTGCCTTGATGCGCTTGACAACAACGTCGACGGGCTCGATGCGCCCTGCCGCTTTGTCGGCGATCTTGCGCTTGAGGTGCGCGTGGACCACGTTGCCAACGTCGCAGCTGAGGAGAGTCATAACCTTGAGGGAAGGCCACGCCTTCTCAAACTGGACAGTGCTCTGCTTGAGATCCTTCTCAAAGTCGAAGGGAGGTCTGGCGTAAGTCTCTGGAACAAAGTTGGCTCACCCAGCGATCCAGTCGTGGTAGTGCCTGAGGGTCACATTCGCCTCGTCAATGCCGCCCTCCTCGAGAATCCAAAGTCCGCAGATCTGAGCATTGAGCGAGGTGTCTTCCTGTGTGAGGTGTTTGTCCTCGAGCTTGATGATGCGGAGGTCAGTGTCACCCCCGAGGGTACGAGGGGGTGCAAAGCAGCGAGGAACTGGGACCGACATGGTGGATGCTTTGATGTTTTATCGAAAGCATGGGGATGGTTTGAGCCATGACTCCGTTCCGAAAACCAGGCATGCTACCTGCCTGGTTTCAAGGCCTGCGCCCTCCATGCATAGCTAGAGCTTCTTCGAGCCGTGCGAGGTGATCGTCGATCTGAGCTTCTGCTCGAACTCGTGAGGGGGTGTTAGCTCACCGGAAGATGATTGCGAATTCACGGTCGCGGTATCTTGCAATCTCGGTCAAGTCGGCGATGTCGGCCCGCTCTTGTCGGCCTAAACCGACATCTGCTGCGCAGAGGCGGGTCCATGCAGTGGAAAGCGTGGAACGCGTGGAACGCGCGGAGTCTCCCACTCTAGATCCGAGAACGGTCGAAGCGCCATGGGCGGTTGTGCAGTCGCGGCCGAAGGTTCCGACGGAAGTCGCCGCAAAGTCGCCGCAGCTTTTGCTTATCTGATAAACACCGCGCAAGTTGACTCACCCAAACCTCTCCTCGCTTCCGTCGGCAGAGTCATCAGTGAGCGCCCACGCTCGGGGCCGAGCCACCGATGCATGAGCCAGGCTATATATAGCCCTGGGTGCTTGCTGCTCTCCCATATCTTTCCATCCTCGCTCATTATGGTCACTGTCATCAAGAACGTTGTTGTCGTCGGCGGATCGTACGTCGGAATCGTGAGTGAGCCGTGACAACTGGGTGCTGACCACAGAACACGGCCAAGGAGCTCGCTGCCATCCTGCCCACGGGCTACAGAGTGCTGCTAGTCGAACCTCACAGTCACTTCCACCACCTCTTCGCCTTCGTTAGTACATCCCCGAGACGAATCACTAACAGAAAGCCCCGTTTCGCTGTCCTGCCCTCGCACGAGCACAAGGCTTTCATCCCGTACCGCGTGTTTGAGAACAACCTGAATGCCGTGGTGCGCGCCAAAGCTCTTGAGGTTCACCCTGACCATGTCGTTCTGGACCGATCCTGGGAGGGATCGACTCAGCTGCCGTTCTCCTACCTCGCCATTGCAACTGGAACGCGCCTGACACCGCCGGGCACGATGGTGTCAGAGGACAAGCTGCCCTCGGTGAAGTACTTCCAGGAGTATCAGAACCGCGTCATCGCAGCTTCGTCCATTGTCATCATCGGCGGCGGTGCCGTCGGCGTGCAGATGGCGACGGACCTGAAAGAGCTCTATCCGTCCAAGAAGGTGACTCTGGTCCAGTCGCGCGACCGGGTCATGCCCAAGTTTCACCCCAAGTTCAATGAGCTCATCATGGAGCGCTTTGCTGAGTTGGGTGTCGACGTGATCACGGGCAACCGCGTCGTTGTGCCTGAGGGCGGCTTTCCAAGCGATGGCTCAACCTTCGCGGTGAAGCTCAAGGACGGGCGCGAGATCGAGACCCAGCTCGTGATCCCGGCCACGGGCCAGAGTGCGAACAACGAGCTCGTGCGCACCCTTCCCGACCAGATCAACCCCGAGAACGGCTTCATCCGCGTCCAGCCCACCCTCCAGCTCAAGGACTACCCGAACATCTTTGCCGTCGGCGACATTGCCGACACGGGAGCACACAAGGCTGCGCGCCCAGGTATGGCGCAGGCTGCAGCTGTCGCGAAGAACATTCGCTCTCTTATCGACGGCAACAAACCGACAGAGAAGTACACTGTCTCGCCGGCGGGTATCCATCTGACTCTGGGACTGGTGAGTAGAATCTAGGAGGCGTAGCTAACAGATAGCAAAAGAACATCGTGTTCCGCAACCCCGCCGCCGAGGGCGAGGAGCCGTCGTTTACCTGGCGCGATGAGTAAGTAATCAACTAATCAGCCTTTAGTACCATGCTAACGCCCAGCGGAACGGCGGACATGAACATTGGCGGCGTGTGGGAGAGACGCGGGGTTCGTGTCAACTGCATCGACGACTACCATCTGTAGATTTCCCCTGTCAGCTTTGACGCTTCGGCGCCAGGAGTAACAGAGATGGAGAGTTGCGGGAGGTTCTGGCTCTTGCAGCCCAAGTGCGCAGATCTACGCTGTGTATGATGTATTAATTAGCTTCCGGCGCGTGTTCTGAACAGGCTGCAATGCTGCGCGAAGCTGCGCCAAAGTAGCCGGTATAGAGTCGCATCGGAACGCCTCGTCGAAGGCTGAAGGGTGGGCAGCCGTGCTGGGTCGTGATGCGCAGTTCTTTGGACGGTGGTTGCGCGTGAAGGTCCTGGCTATACCTTCGGGGGCTCGAAGACGAGCGTAGCCAGCTCTGACCCGATGCGCTCCCGAAAGTCCACCTCGGTCTCGAACCGCACGCGCGCCTTGATGTCCTCGATATCGGCGTATCTGCGCCCGAACTCAATCTCGAACATCCAATCCCAGAAGTACCGGACCTTCTCGGCCTTATTGGCAAAGTACCGGGGGGGCGTCGGCTCCCACTCCTCATCTGGGAATGGGGATCCGCACCACGTATCCCAAGCGTCCATGCCGACGAGCGTGAGTGTTGCTCGTGGAAAGGCGTGCAGATAGGCGAGCGAGCTAGTCGCAAGCTGGTTCAGGAGCGTGCTCCGCCATGGGCTCTTGGGGCGCGGGCCGTAGTCATACATCTTTGCCAGAACGCAGACCTCGTGTTCCCTGTGATCGGGTTTGGGTTCGTCTGGCCGGACGCCGTCCGGGAATGAGGATGCTGGAAGGGCTTCGAACGCGAAGCCGAAGTCGCCCATGCCGCGCTGGTCGTAGCGGAGGTGGAGGATGTTGACAGGGATCTCAGGCAGCGGACACGCGACCACGAGGTCGTCTTCGGGGTACACTGTCGCGAAAGCTGAGTCGGGGATGTCGACGTTGAAGATTGCTGTCTGGACTCCAGTCCCCGGCAGCTTGAATCGATGGTGCATTCGTGAGAAGAAGCGCACCGTGTTCGGCTCGCTGGCGAGGCTGAAGGAACCGAGGATGGGTGGCTCATCGAACGACTCGGTTCTGAAAACTTCGTCGTGCACGTCGAGCACGCGAGCTTTGGTCGGTCGCGCATCCCAGACGAAGCTGCGTTCGGTGTCGTCATCCGACCCGGTATCGAGAACGCGCCGAACCACCACGTGTTGCAGTAACTTGCGCTGCACTACCGCGTGCAGAGCTGATGACGCCAGTCCCAGTGTCCGGAGTGTCGATACATCGCGGTCGGCGTAGAGAGCGTCGAGGATGAGGTCGAGGATGTGCGGGTAGAACGCGAAGTCGATGGTCATGTTGACAGAGGCGAATGTCGGCGTGCTGTGACGTAAACAGTGCCAAACCCTGATCTCCCACGGTGGCCAATTCTTGGCCATCTGCGGCGATTTACCTATCACCCCTCGAGCACAGTATGCGTCCTTCAAGGAGCCAGCATGAAGAGTGGAGCAGGATGAGGCAAAGCGATCCGATTTGCATAGCCATTACCTACAGCTCGGTGCAGAGTCGGAGCGTCTTAGGTTCACGGTCTCGAAACTCTGCTAATGTGACGAAAGCGAGTCGCGATGTATCGGACTCATACCATCCGGCACAGATGTCCCATAGGTCAGAGACGGTCAAGGACGCCGTAGACTCCGGCATCGGCCAGCGGGTGTTTGTGCCGTCGAACCAATTCACGTCCCAGTTCTCGCTCCCAACGACTGTGACACGAAGGTTCTCGCTCCGTCTCAGCAGTCCTAGTGTCTGTTCAATGACAATGTGCAGGGGCTGATTCGGTTTAGCTGTCGTAGGCCAGACATTGCGCCGAGTCGGCCCGGGATGGAGCATTAGCACGACCTCCATGTCGGGATCGTCACTGAACTCCACCGGTTTGTAGGGGTAGTACACGCTGCAAATCAGGCGAGCCCCGTACCGAACGCTGACGATTGTGCGCTTGAACCGAGGACTGACGGCACAGATGCAGCTCAGCTCCAAGGCTGTGGGTCGCATGCCCGAGACGTCCACGACGTGGATTACCGTATCGGCATCGGGAACCCAGGGCTGGTCGGCGCTGGAGTGGCGAGCGAAGAAGCGGACAGTTGATGGCGATGAAAAGCTCACGTCCGCTGGGGTGAACGGGTCGAACACGTCCAGAAGCTTGATTGCGTTCCATTCACGATTGCGCAATCCGACATGCTTCGTGTACACTCTACCCGGCCGCACGATCAGGTGATGGCAGATCCGACGGTCAACTTGCTCCTTCACGGACGAGGACGTCAGGCGCAACGCGCGCAAAGTGGAGGCATCTCCAGCCTCGTAGACCAAGTCGAGAATCGACTCGAAGATGTGAGGGAATGATGCGGCGTCAATGCAGACCTTGACAGGGCGACCTGGCCGTCAGCGCTTGGTTGGGTTTGCTGCTCACTGATCATTGAAGGTCGTCCCATACTGTGATGAGCAGAAGGAGAGATGTTGCGAAGAGAGAGAGATGCACAGCAATCGGTGGCAACAATGGTGACAGATCTGTGTCCGTGCGCGCCAAGCGTGGCGAGATCTGCGACAGCTACCACCATGCTCTGTCCGCGACAGAGCACAACACCACCATCTCTGGGTTTCACCCGCGTTTGAACTCTTCCATCAAATCGAGAGGACAGAACGACTAACGACTAGGTTGAACAGGCAGGGCGTGATACACGGTTAAATAGCATTCGTTCTTCCTCAGGACGACGCCAAGGAACAATAGCTGTTCTGGCCGGATGTTGCAGATCCCTCGTGCGGGGCGCTGTGGGTCCATGACTCCTCGCAACTCGAGGATGTCATCGCATGGAGTATGGTATCTGAAGAGGTCGGGGCGAACCTTTGTCCTCTTCTCAGCGCCGACCGGTTGATATGCAGCGTTTCGTCTAACGGAGTCCGGAGAAGCCGTTGAGTACGTGCCGCCATGCGAAGTTGCAAGGCTGCTCGAAAGTCAAGGCGTGGGAGATTCGTCAATCTGGTCAGTAAGGGATGCAGGAAAGTCAGCCACGTCCGCGCCCCCAGTCATGTCGGAGCATGCCAGGCAGCCTCCAGCTCCCAAGTCCGCGGTCCACTGTGCGCGTCCAGGAACCAGATACCCCAAGGTCCGTGGAGCTCGTTTACTCCTCTGCGCTTCGACAATGCAACCGGGACGGAATGCGGCACGCAAGCGAGTGTTCGAGTGGAAATGCAGCTCATAGCCGGAAACAGAACCCACAGTGGGCAATGGGCATGCATAGCTGCGGAGCGGAGCTACGGAGTTGAGCCGGCGTGCCAAGATGGCGCCGGTGGCGTTGCGGCGTACGCCACCCAGGGCAGCGCAGATCTGCCGATAACTGGAAGCATGCATTGTCTTCCTTTGTCCGACAGTTTGGCTCTCCCTCTGCAATGCCGTTGGTTGGCAAGTCGTCGTCGCCGAGAGCGTTGGGCATGTCGGAGTTGAAGACGGCAGAGTCGAGGTGCAGACAGAGTTGTGCGATTACGGCGACAATGTTAGGGGAACGCTGGAATCGGGCCGTTTTCTCGTTATCAGTGGGTTCAGGTCGGTCGTGGCCGGTCACAGTGATGCTGACATCTGCGGACTCGGTTAAGGTTTCTCCGGCCTCGGCGTGTCCTCTTGCGTTTCGTGCAGGCGCCGTGGGTGAGTCGCGCCTTCGCTTGCTGGTCGCGATCTCGTTCCTCTGGTGCCTCTGGTTCCTCGGCGGGCACTTTTGTTCCGCGGGAAAGTCTGGATCATGTGGTGTTGGTGCGGCCGATCGCCGGATCGGTAGATCGCGAGCGTCCCGCGGCCTAGGTGTCCACAACGAGACGGTACATCTCGTCCCCGACCTTGGCGCGGAAAGACGAGTGCGAGAGGAAGCTCATGCGCTCGGCATAGTCGACGTGCATGTCGAACACGATCTCGGACGCCCACGCAATCATGCGATCATCATGTACCGCCTGCCAGGTGGACTGGTACGCGAAGCCGCGTTTCCGCCGTTCGAGACCGAGAAAAGCAATCGTCAGCCCCGGGTAGAGCTCGAGCTGGTCTTCGGCCCAGCGCACCACGTTGTTCAGCGTCGAGAACACGACGGCGCGGTCCCGCGGACCGAGATCAGGCCCGGCCGCGAAGAACGACGACAGGCTCAACGTGAGGTGGGCCTTGCCGCATGGCTCAATGTCGAAGAACTGTAGCGAGGCGGCGACGTGGGCGTCGAGGACCATCACATTGTGCGCACAGGGCAACAAGAAGGGACGATACTCGAGCGGCGCCGAGTAGCTCATCACCTTGATCAGCGCGCGCAGTGATGGTGCGAATGGCACCGACCGCTGTCCGTAGAGCCGCAAGTAATGCGGCTTGCAGTTGCGCAGGAAGGAGGCGCACGTCCCCTGTCCCGTGCTCTCGTCGTCGTAGGGAAATACGTCGATCGCGCGCACGTCGCGGTTGCCGCGCGCCCACTGTTCGGACCAGACCTGGTAGTACCGCGTGCATGGGTGCGCGCCAGAGACAACCATGTGCGACGCGAGCAGCCCATCAACGATCGCCTTGGACGCTCTCCCCGCCGCACGCAGGGCCGACAGCGTGCTGATGTCGTCGGCGGCATGGACGTAGCCGACAATCTCGTCGAAGAGATGTGGGTAGAACTGGATGTCGAGTGTGGGCATGAGGATGAGTATGGATTCAGGATCGAAAATGGCGCAAAGAGAGGGCGAAAACAGACCCGGCGTCGGAGACGACAAAGGTTGGTCGGTCAGTCGCTCGTGATGCATGGACGACGAATGCGGGTTGCACAAAGTTGCCGATGTCGAAGGAAATACAAATAATGAGGAGAGCCAACGCGCCCGAACGCCGCCTCGTCCGTCGGCAGTGGGCCGTCGGAAGCGAACAGGATCGCGCCAGGATGCAGATCTGCTGATCACTCGGAAATTTGGCTGCCGCAATGTCCAGTGTCTGTGGGCTCTGCATGCGTCGTCGAGGAACGAGTGATTAATTAACAACGCCATCGAACGCCAAGCGTCTATTCATCACATGCATCCAAATGCTTGTCACTCAGGACAGCTGTTCCTAATCTCCTCCGCGACAACAGCGAGCATGCATCCACTCAGGATCAGGCTGAACCCTTCCTAGATCAGGTTCAACGTTCAGGCTGGCGGCACAACCTCCGCTACCTCCGCACCTCCGCAATTGCTGCACATTGCCTCCGAACTCGGCAGCGAACCGAAACTGAACATGTGTGTGAGGGTTTCCCGGTAGATCTCTCGGGGTTCCCGCTCCCTCATTCGACAGTGTACAGCCGGTACGTCTCCTCGCCGATGCGATCTCGGTAGATGTCCTCGGGTACAAACTCGACTCTCTCTTGAAGGCGAGCAATCTCCTCGTCATCCAGCGAAGTGCACTTGCCCTTCTGCGCATAGTGCGGGGGACACGTCCAGCCCATGCGAGCATAGGAGGCGAACACGTGGGACCAGAGAGACTGGATGGAGAGGTCGGGATCGGGCGGGGTATCAACAGGCCATAGCTGGAACCAGTGCCGACTCCAGCGCTCGGCACCGACAAGCACCAGACGGGCGGTCGGGTTGTCGTGAAGATACGAGATCGCGCTGACAACGATCGAGTTCAGCAGCCCGCGCTTCTGGTCCGGATTATCCGGCGGGGCGTCGGTCGTTTCGTCCTTGGGCGTAAACAAAATCACGACTTCTGGAACGGGTGGTGGCAAAGGTGACGGTGGATCGCACATCCTGCACGTATCCCCTTCGCCCCAGAGAACCTCGAACAGGCCAATATTGTCGCCGTGCCGGATGTTGATGACATTGCGGGCGGCGGGGACAAGCCGAACCTTAACCCCTGCGCCGAAGAACGGTGTGGCTTCGGTGAAGTGCACGACCGTGTTGGCGCCGCAGGCATCGGAAGTGAAACTTTTGCTGTCGAAAAGGCGCACGATTGCAGGCCGAGCGCTACGTACGTACTCGGCGACGGCGTCTTCGGAAGCGCAGGGCGAGAAACCGGTCGAAGCGTCGAAATTACACACCGCGTGGTGGTCGAAGTGGTGCACGTCCACTGTCTGGACCTTGGGGATGGCACGTGGGCCACGCCCATTCGAGATCGGGAGCTGGAGGTGGCCGTAGCGCGTATGAATCTTCACGCCGGACTTGCCACGCACGACGAGGTGGGTGGCGAGCTTGTTGTCGACCATGGATTGCACAGTCGAAGATGTTGGACGCAGAGTGAGGAGTGTCTCGGTGGTGCGGGTACGATACAGCTCGTCGACGATGTGGTCGAATACATGGGGGAAGTAGGCGATATCGATCATTGTTGGTCTGTAGGCTTGGCCGAGAGTGACGAAGAGTATTGCGCGTGAGGGAGCTCCATCCTGTGATCAGATTTATGAACAGACTTATGAACAACACGTCGAGCGAGGTTGTGCATGTGTCGGGCGTGACTCGAGCACCCGTCGGGTACGCCGGGGCGTGAACTAACACATGCTGGACCCGATATTGGTAGAGGGAGTGATGAAGACGAAGGAGACCTGCTGTCATTGGTAATGTGGATAGGGCGTGCGATTAGATTTGTCGGCGTTATGCGTAATTGGTAATGCTCCGGGTGTAATCGATAGCGGTGAGATCTGGCCATGCTGAAGTTGATGGCTTGCTGGTTTTGTGCATGGCTCATCGGCGGCCACCCAACCCTACGATCGCTATCAGCCGCTTGAGGTTGTAGCCGTAGACGAGGGCGCCGTTGGGCACCGTAGAGGGATGAAAGGCTTCGAGCGATCTTGAATTTGATCTCCAAACAAGACAGACAGATTCGTATCTTATCACGGCTTACGTACACCGATGCAACCGACTGTGCCGCTTACTGCTTGGAGGTTCTCCTCCTCTCCATCCACACATCGTCCAATCTTGCATGCGTTGCAAACTATGACTCGTGTGCATCGAATGTTTGAGTGTGCGCAGCATGGCGCAGATGTGGGCTAGTGCGATCTAACCTTGTCCGGTTGTCACGCCCGCCATCAGCTGATAGTGTGACACACCAGGGGCACCATCCGACAGACAGGAACCAGCAAACACAACACTGAGATCTCTCATCACCATGCGTCTACCGCATCACCCACGTCCACGACGCCCGCCATGTCGACGTCGACGGCCATGGCCGACATGACGTCGACCCACCCGAAAGACTGCACCTGCGTGTGGTGCAGTCTCGTGCGCGACCTGCAGACCGCGGAACAGAACGCTGCGAAGCCTGCCCCGCCCCCACCAAAGCCGCCGGCCAAGACCGCGGCGCAAAAGGCAGACATGCTGACGACGCATCCAAAGGACTGCGACTGCGTGTGGTGCACCCTCGTACGGGATCTGAAGAATGTGGACACAAAGACGGGCGGTGGAGATGCGGCGACGAAAGCGGCTGGTGGGTGACGCCTCTGATCGAGCTGACAGTAGAGAAGAAGGCGGCCAAGTCTGATCCTCCGAAGCCTCCCCAGGCTGATCCGCCGAAGGAAGCACCCAAGGCCGATCCACCGAAGCCGAAGGAGGGAGCGAAGGGTGACATCGGCAAGCCGCCAGCGCCGCCCAAATTCGGAGGGCTGAAGAAGGCTCCGCCGAAGGCCAAGGAGAAGCCGCCGCCGAAGCCACCAAGACAGTTCAAGATGAAGAAGGACGACGCGCCGAAGCCACCAAAGCCGCCGAAGGAGAAGAAGGAGAAGCCGCCCAAGCCGCCCAAGGACAACAGCGCGAAGGCGGAGGCGGCGGCGAAAAAGAAGGCAGACGCTGAGGCAGCCAAGGCGAGGAAGAAGTCGGATGCAGAGGCGGCCAAGCAAGCGAAGGCGGATGCGAAGGCGGTTAAGAAGGCTGCGGCTGACAGCAAGAAGGCTGAAGCGGCGGCAGCAAAGAAGAAGGCTGCTGAAGACAAGGCGAAAGCGAAGGAGGCGAAGAAGTCGGAAGCATGGGCCAAGAAGCAGGCCGATGCTGCGGTCCGCAGGGGTTCGAAGTTGTACAAACCCCCGCCGGTGAGGGCATGATGGCGTTGTAGTAGGCTGGTTGTATGAGTTCACCCTGGCATCGATTCACACTGTCTCGGAGGATGTCTGACACAATCGGCGATACTTTTCATCCTGCATATTCCTACTACTGAAACTTCTGAACTCTAGCTTAGCCGCCGTACTCGAGGCCGCGGCGGATCTCGTCGAAGCAGACAGCGATGCCTGCCATGAGGGCAATGTCGATACCAGGCGCAACGGTGAAGAAGTAGGTCTGGTCGTCGTACGCGCCCGGCTTGACGGTCATGCTCTTTCGCGAGGCCTTGGCGACGGGCTGTGTCGGCTTCTTGGTCGACTTGTCGTAGAACGAGAGGACGGCTCCGTCGCCGGCCCAGTCGCCGTCGAGCTCCATCGTCTGCTCGGAACCCGACTTGTCACGACGTCAGACAGGATGACCTTGGCGCGCGCACCGCCCTCGGCCTTGGACTCGTCCTCGACCTTGAACAGCTGCACGCCCTCCTTCTTGCCGACCATCGAGGCGTGGACGGTGAAGATCTTGTCGTGAATCTCGTACAGCTCCTGGCCGGCCGAGTCGACGACGGCTGCGGCGTCAGTTGATGCAAGCTACCTTACTCACTCCTCTTGTTCGTGACCGAGTGGTTCTTGGCCTTGAGGGTCACGACGACATCGCCGTTCAGGTCGCAGATCGCGTAGTCAGTCGGCGAGTCGGCGTAGAGGTTCTCGCGGAGGACGAGCGTGACGGGCTCGTTGCGGACGCGGCCGTAGACGTCGATCGGAGGCGAGACGGCGACGAGCTTGATAGAGTCGTAGTTGTTGTTGGACATGGCTATCTTGTTGATGACGAGGGGAGAGGTACACTTCGGCGACCCGTTATATACAGCCTCGGTCATGCATCGCTACGGCAGGCTCTTGCATGCAGTGTGAGTCCCGAACACCTGCCTCTCGGCTCGACAGAGGAGCTAGCAGCTAGGCGACGAACTGACGTCAAGCACCACGCAGCTGTACGGTGTGTTCCACCACATTCGATCGGCAACCTCACGATTATCCATGGGAATTGGATGTTACGTTGCCTGTGCGAGCAACTTCCAGGCAGACTGTACGACGTTTCCCATTCACTCCGCGGTCACCGATCGATGACCGAGCTCGAGCGAAGAGACCGAGACTCTGCGACAGCGTTCCTGTCGACTGCCAAGAGTATCGATAAGGCGCAGACCGAGAGCCGCGACCATCGGGGGTGCGCCTCTCGGCGCCGGCGACGGTGGATGCGAAAACGGCCCATGATGTCATCGGCCGGCAACAAAAATGGGCACCAACTGGGATTTGAACCCAGGACCACTTCCATTGGATGGTTCATCCGGATCGCAAGGAACCCGAAGGAAGTATGATAGCGACTACACCATTGATGCCTTCGTGTTTTCACGCTGCTCATGCGATGCGCCTGGCCAAGAGGGGTCGAACGCACGAAAAATCATGCAGATTGATGCAGCCGTTGGGCAGAAAAGCCGGAAAATAACGCGGGATGCTGATGTGAGCATGCCTGGTGCCACGGGGCCTGCTGCGAGGATGGAGGGGTGCAAGCGTCGATCACGCTAAGCAGGCGGGGCGCAAGTGACACCTCCACCCCTCCACCAGACACTTATCTCGCCGGCCATCTCACATCCATACTGTCACCCAGCGTCCATGTCGCCACCGACCGCGGAGCTCCAGGCAGCGGGCCTGACTCCTGCGCAGGCCGAGTTCGTGGAGGACAAGCTGGGCCGCGTCACCCTGGTCAAGAACATGAGCTGGGGCAACTTTGACAGCACCGTCCTTCACGTCGCGCGCAAGGTTGGGCCGTTCGTCATCAAGGCGTGCGGACCCGGCATTGGGCGACACCACTTTGACCGCGAACTGGCAGCGTTTCGAGCAGGAGTCACGGACCGACTAGGATCGCATGCAGCACGTCTTCTGCACGTGGACGAGGGACTTGGTGTCATGGTGCTGAACTATCTTCCAGGATCACTCGTGTTCGGCTCCCCCTTCCAGCTCGACCCCGATACGCATCGCCAGGCTGGCCGGCTCCTCCGACAGATCCATTCCAACCCCCAAACTGACACTGAGTGGGACGCAAAGGCTACGCGCCGCTCGCTCGACTGGCTGGACAAGGAGCACCGCATTCCCGAGCCCGACGCCGCTCTCACCCGCCTCATCCTCGAGGACCGCATCTCCACTCCGCACCCTGTCGAAGTCGTCGACACGCACGGCGACTACCACCCGCGCAACTGGCTACGCGACGACGCCGGAACCGTCAGAGTCATCGATTGGGGGCGGTACGAGCGCCGGCCGGCGTTCACCGACTTCATCCGCTGCGCATGCCAGGAGTGGGCGGAGAAGCCCGAACTCGGCCACGCGTTCGCAGAGGGGTATGGCCAGGACCTGCGCGACACGGACGACTGGAAGATGGAGTACCTCCGCCAGGCTGTGGGCACGGCGTGCTGGGCCCCGACGATTGGGGATGAGAAGTTCGAGGCGCAGGGTATCAGGATGGTGGCCGAGGCGCTCGAGCTGCTGCGTCCTTTGGCTGCGCGACTGCAGAGCCAGTCGCGCGGATAGGCCATGTCGTGATGACAACACCCCGGGCCCCGGTACCTGTCTCGGTAGATCATGCTTAACGAGTGTAACGAGAGATGGACAGGGCGAGAAGACAACCTGAGATCTGAGGCGTTGCAGGGATGACGAGAAGAGAAGGAGGACTGGTCAACGTCTCCAGCCAACATTGCGGAAAGCTCTCGACCTACGCGTCGAGGTTACCCAGGACGCGAGGAAAACAAATGTGCCGAGGACGGCTGGTTGGTAGATTTAGCAGCGGGCCGGGAGCGCCAAGACAGGCACGCCGTCCTATCACAGCCTTATCAGATTCGGCGCCGGCCGAACGACACCCTTCCGTCCAGTCGCGTCCCCTCCAGGACGTATCAGATAACTTTTCAGCGCGAAAGTCACCAGAGTCCGCACTTTTCAGCCCTCGTCGCGTCGAGGGCTCATTCTGCACGGGGATGCAGGCGACACTCATAAGTTCGGCAGTGTTGTTCTGCTAACACCTACTCACCTGACTGACATGCTGTGCAACGTTCTGTCGCTGCTGGCCGCAGCCGCAGTCGCCGCCGCGACGACTGCCGAGGGCGAGCCCTACCTCCGTCGTCTTATGACGGACAAGCGTCTGATCATGATCGTCAAGTGAGTCAGACCCTAAGCTCCGCTGACGTCCAGCCCCTGCCAGGCCGGAGGCACGAACCGAGACAACGCTGCCGAGTGGCTGCGTGCCTCATTCCACGATGCGGCGGACCACAACGCCGCAGCTGGCATTGGTGGCATCGACGGTAGCTTCAAGTATGAGGCTGGGTACAACGGGAACCGCGGCCTGCAGATGCGCTCGGTCGTCAACCAGTACTCCGGCTTCCAGGGTGAGGGCGTCTCCTTCGCGGACATTGTGGTGCTCGGTGCCCTCGATGCCGTGCGGTCGTGCGGCGGCCCCATCATCCCCTTCTACTGGGGCCGTACCGACGTCTCCTCGGGTGGTCCCACCGATGCCCTGCCCGAGGCTAGGACAGCACCGAGTCCCACGTGCAGCGCTTCGCGCGCATGGGCTTCTCACCTTCGGACATGGTCGCAATGGTCGCTTGCGGGCACACGCTCGGTGGCGTTCACTCCGCCAACAACCCTGCTCTCACCTCGCAGGGCTACCATCACTTTGACGACACGTTCGCGCACTTTGACAACCACGTCGCCGTCGCCCACTTCAATCACGGAAGCCCTAACCCGATGGGTCAGCAGTGGGACGCGGCCAACCCCGGCTCCAGCAGCGACACGCGTGTCTTCAGCGTCGACGGGAATGTGACCATTGGTCGGATGGCTCAGAGCGACGCCGCATTCCACCACGAGTGCGTCGACGCATTCAGCAAGATGTGGAACGATGCCGTTCCCTCTTCTGTCACGCTCAAAGGACCCATGCAGCCGCTCAAGGTCGCGACCTCGTTCCGCAGCTACTTGCGCAACGGTGTCATCAGTTTCAACCTCGGCAACGCGCGTCTGTACGACATGGAGGGGCAGTGGTCCTCATTCGAGGTGGGATACTACAACCGCGACGGGTCTGTCGGCACGGACAACAGCATCCTCCAGGTCGGCGAACTCGTGACGTTCGACGTTGGTGTGCCTCTCGAGACCAAAGCGTTCAACTTCCTCCGGCCCAGCATCGACCCCGCCACCGGTCTCGGCGGTCTGTTTGTCAACGTGCAAATGAAGGACGGCTCTGCCGCGCCAATCGAGGCCGACTCCTTCCAGCCTTTCCAGGACACCGTGCTCGTCGACTACGGAAACCTCTATACCTGCAAGTACAAGGGCGATGCGTCCAAGGTTGGCCTGAACATGACTGCAGTCGTGCTGGCTCCGTATGACGCGAGCGACAAGGTCGAGTTCTTCCTCCGCACGTCATCTGGCGACCAGCTCGTGCGCGCCGCATACCGCGGTCCGAGGGACGATTACTACAACCTCTACAACCTCTTCATCGAAGACATTGACGCCATCGGCCTCACCGACTTCACGGTGCAGTTGACCCGTTCTGACGGCACAGTCATCCGCGACACGCATGGAGACGGCACGCTGTACTCGACATCGGTGGGAACTTGCGGCGCTGGAGAAATCTTCCCGTCCAACCCCGTGCCGAGCGGTACGATTGCACGCCGCCGGCAGCTGAACCCCATCCGGGAGGCGCCGGAGCCTTGTCCCCGCGGCTGGCTCATGTGCAACGACCGGTGCACGAACACGGCCTCCGACCTCGAGCACTGTGGTGGTTGTGCGGGCTTCGGAGGTATCGACTGCACCACCGTCAGCGACGGCACTATCGCCTGTATCCAAGGCAAGTGTGTGGTCACGGATGAGAGCTACTAAAGGATAGACAGGGCATTGGGCATGCATAGAATTGGAAACTAGAGACTCGTGGCACAAGCCGATGACTGCTAGTCTCCGCAGAACGACATATGAGAAGAGTCGCTCACCTCCCTGCTCACAAACATGGTCCCGCCCTGGAGATGCTGATATCTGCTTTGGATACCGACTTTGCATCAATAGACTGCCCAAGCTCAAGCTCGCCCACGTCGCCGGCGCGGCGCTGGCGACGGAGCGCTCGGCGTCATCGTCAGCACTTTGCTCACCACACCGATGGTGAAATGGTATCATGCATCGTTGCCAAGCGAGTTCGATGCGGTGGGGGTTCGATTCCCCCTCGGTGTACAGCGTTACGTGCTCCAAGAGAGACGACAGTTGGCTTTTTGAGAGATGGGCGGGGATATGGCGCGGCCGGTCGAGGATAGGAAGAAAGGGCCGTGAGCGAACGACCTTCTCGAGTGGTCGTCCGTTTATTAAGATTGCCTAGGGATGTCCCTTCGCTGTGCCAGCTATGAGGGTGCTCGGACTCTTCTGCCCGGCGCGCAGAGCACCTCCGTGCCCGTCTACGGACGTTCTCGTGGTGTAGTGGTTATCATACTCTCTTAGGGTGATCAACATCTTGAGCTTTGCCTCCAACGATCTCTGGTTCGCCAGTGCATCGAGCTTGGGAGTGGCCCCGGGTTCAAATCCCGGCGAGGACCGTTTTTGCTAGCTGTTGAGCTCCTCATGCATGTAGAAGGCGTAGGAATACGGTTGGAAGATGAGGGAGGTGACGAAGGGTTTCGTGCGAAGGTCCGGTGGTGGTGGTTGGTGGAGGCGGTGGAGGTGGCGCTTGGGTGCATAAGCCTGAGTTTCGCAGGATGCGGCGACACTTCACCGCTTGCCAGCTCTCCTGAACAGGTCTCGGGTAAGCTTCGCCAGCTTAGAAGCAAGATCTGGTAAGCGTCAAGTGTGGCGGCCGTAGCGCATTCCAGGCGATCAAGAGAAGGGAGTAAAAGACCCGCCCGGTAGATGGTGTGGTCGAATCTGCACCCGCGTTCGGTGATGGGACAGCGCCCCTCTCCCGTGTGTTCTCCTGCAGCGATCTGCAGGCCATGCTGTCACTAGCTGTGAAGCAGAGCGTCTCGTGACTGCTGCGGTTCCGAGTGGACATTCACAACAGGATATATAACAGGATACAGCCCCTCTATCTATGCAACGAAAGCCTTCGAAAATGGTTGTCGGGTCGAGGTTGTCCCGACGTTCCGCGCAGAGCAGTCGACCGGTGCGGCATTACGCGACCAAGCCCCTCAATTGCGCAGCCCTACTCCGAGAACATGAGACTGAACATGCGAGAGGGGATTTCAGCCTCGTACGCGGCTTTGGACATGAACTTGACCCGCTTGCGATACGACTCATCAGGCACCCTGTCCATGTTCCTCTGGATACTGCGATCGGCCAGCTCAAACCACCCGGCACGGAAACGTTCGAGGTTGTCGGTGATCTTGGAGATCTTGACAGGCAATCGTCCCAACAACCAGTCAGCGTCCCACTCCTCCGCCAGGAACACCACTTGCAGACCAAAGTTGTCAAACATGGCCCAAGTGACGCCGGAGACCACTCCTACAATGTGATCATTGTCGAGGCAAGGCGCGCCAGCCATAGGAGTGAACATGATGACAAGTTCTTGGTCGACTTTGACCCAACCGTCGATGCCACGGCTTTCAAGTGGTATGGGCCCAGTGTAGCCTACACTGATATCGTTGGGACAGCGACCCGGTTCGTACCTCATGTTGATGACCACTCGGCGGGCAGTCGTGGGAAGTTCGATGTAGCAGTGCTCCTTCTTCGTAGGAGTAGGGAAGTAGATCGCGGTGTCGGCGATGAGAAGACTGTCATGGTGGTGGTGACGGCCAAGGTAGCGAACGACCGGGAGTCTCTCCACGCCCGGCCAAGGCTCGCCTGTACAACAGGGCCGCGCCTGGAGGGGAGGGAAGATGTCAACAACTTGGTCAATGGGGGACGCAACCCAGCCCTCGGTGTTGATGTTCCACATGAGCGTGTTGGCCCTGAAGAAGGCAGTGTCTCCAGGACTCTGTTCGGCTGCCTCAAAGGCCTCCTCGAGCCTGTCGAGGTCGTCCAGTGAGTCGAGATCGAGACTTGGGTGGCAACAGACAAGTGCGCGACGAGGGAGACGTCGGTCGATGATTCGCTTGACGGCCGAATTGGTCAAGCGGCAGTGCGCGAGACTACCGTATAGGCCGTCGGCTTGTAGATGGCCTAAGATGTTCTCCAAGATATGGGGATATGCTGAAGCGTCCAGAGGCGAAGTCATGATCACTGCAATGGGGATGGCGAAGACGACAGAGCGAACAGAGAGTCCAACCATCAGTGTTTCAGAAGGAGGCTCGTGATCTCTTTGAGAAAGCGTCCGCGATCCGCGACCCAACTTGCGCCCTCGGGCGCTTTTGGTACTCCCATCGGGGTTGTGGTTCTACACATCTACCTAGTCCGTGTTGCACCCTCTTTCCTCGATCCTCTAACCTGCAACTACGTTTACTCCGAGCACATGAGCTTGAGCGTGCGGGGTCCGACCTCAGACTGATATGCCTCCATAGTGGTGAAACTGATGCGGGTGAGACAAGACTCTGGGTCCGTCTCGGGCGCCTGATCAAGGTACACCAGCATGAGACGCTTGAATGCGGCAACGAAGCGTTCGTACTCATCCTCGATCTCGCGGAGACATTCGTCCTCTTCTCGAACGAACCACGACCATTTCCATCCATCTGTGATCAGCACTACGTTCAGCGCCAGATTGTGCCGAACAGCAAGTGCGACTGAATGTGTCCAGTCCTCAAGGAACGTCTTCATCCGCAAGTTGTCCTGTGCTTTGCCGGTGGGCGTGAACATGAGCACGAGCTCTTGTGGATTTTCCAGTACTCCAATGCGGCGATACATCGAGTTCCTTAGTTCTGCCTCGGGTGCATACCGGAACGCAAAGTCTGGAGGAGCGTGGTCGTAGTGCATGTTGATCACGATCCTGCTGGCTTCGTAGCACAGCTCCACAACGCGGTTCAACTTTCCCTGTTCCGCGACGTATGCTGGATCCGGGAAGAGGATGAGTGTCTCGGCGCCGCTTGGTGGAGGGAGAGCGCGGTAGTCGAACACACGCAGGACGGGAACTGGGGCAGAGAGTGCAGGCCAGTACAGGTCCCCAGTGACGTGCAAATCGGCCACCTCCGATATGGCCGTTGGTCGCCAGCCCTCCGTGTCGCTGTTCCAGAGCAGTGTTTCGTGGTTCACACAAAGTGAGGTTTTGCGCGGAGGAGCGACTGGGTCTATCGGCGAGAGGATTCTATGCCGGGGCAGGCGGGAGTCGATCGTTCGCTTCACCGCCGAACAGGTAAGACGACAGGATGCCAGGGTGGCGTCATGGCCTGAAAGATGAAGTTGATGCAGCACATTGTCGAGGATGTGGGGGAAGCAGGCGGCGTCGATAGTGATCATTGCGAATGAATGCAGGTGCAGGTGGGTAGCTCGACAATGCATGCATTGCACTAGATATCGTCAATGCATCTCTCCACCATGGCTGTGTTGAGACATCAGCCACTCCCCGATGCCCGACTCCGCTCTGTGCCTCCGCAGACCGCGTCCGCCACTCCGCCCGTCGGCACTGCTTCACCGACGGTCTACACCGCTGCAATCCGCCGTCCATGCTTCCATTCCGCGCATCTACCCCGCTTCGACCAGCGCAGACATGCGCATCCCAGCTTGCGCATCGAACTCAGACATTGTCATGAGCTTCACCCGTCCATGGAACAACTCAGCGGGCCACCCCTCATCCTCGTCCGCCTCGACTATGGAACCCATGAAGTAGTAATGCCACGCCTGCTCCAGTCTCCCCCTCTCGTTTGCCACGTCTTGGAGCCAGGACCATTCCTCCACCTCTCCCTCGGCCGTAAACCAGCGCCAGCTCCAGCCGTCGACCAGGAGAATGACAGTAAGGAGCGGGTTGGCGTACAGCGCATCGACGACAGAGGCGGTCCACTGGCGCAAGTGGCCGGCTTGCGCGCCGGACCCGCAAGTGATCATGAGCACGAGCTCTTGCTTTCGATGCAGAACAGCCTGAAGCGGACGTGGGCTGATAGTCGAGGAGGACTCGAGGTCGTACGCGAAGCGGAAGTCTGGAGGCTGAACGGCCCCCGGGCGACTGTCTGAGTGCATGTTGATAATAGTCCGGTCCGAGTCTGAAGGAAGCCGGACGTACGTCTGCTGCTCAGTCTTACAGAAGTGTGTGACCGAGGGGAAGATGATGACCGTATCTGCCGGGAAAGACGGCAATGCACCGCGATGATCGAAGAGACGCAACACTGGAAGTCTTTCGCCGCCTTGGCAGTTGGGATAAGGCTGATGACTCTCCAGATTGAAGTGAACGTCGACGACGTGATCTATGGGTGGCCGGTGCCAGAGTTCGGTGAGTGCGCCCCAGAACCGTGTTTCTGCTGCTACGCTGAGGTTCACCTGGAGTTTACCAGACAGGTTGGTTGGATAACCTGCAAGTATCAGGCGCCGAGGGAGACATGAGTCAATGACCAGCTTGACTGCGGAGCATGTCTGGCGGAAGTTCGCCAGTGTTCGATGCTGGGCGTCCTGGTGCAGCCCATGCAGAATGGCGTCGAGGATGTGAGGGAAAGCGAGGGCATCGATGGTGGTCATTGCTGCTGTCAGATGTGAGTAACAAGGCCTGCGAGGTCTGCAAGGCAGGGTTGCTTAACATTGGTACATAGTCTTGGTATTGATGAGCTCACATCGAAAGCGGTGAGAAAACAGGAAACATTCGGTGGTGATGCATTGCGGAGTGAGTGTGCGGAGAGCTGAGCGGAGTATACAGTCAACCACAGCAATGCACTCGGATCCGATGCCGGGTCCACAGCCTCGTCTGTGGGGACTGTCTACCGTCTGAGCATGAGACGGAGCATGCGTGAACCGACGTGAGCTTCGTACTCGGCTTTGGTCATGCACTTGACGCGATCGAGGACGGACCCAGTCAGAGGAAATTCAGCGGCGATGTCTCTCGCCCAGCAGGATCCCCACGCCAGTTCGAGGCGCTTGGAGTGGTCGGTGATGTGCCAATCCCATTTGTCGGCTAGGACGGTGACCAGCAAAAGCCGAATTGTGGTAGACGGCTTGAAGGACTGATTTCGCCCAGCACGGGAGTTCGGTAAGATCACGAGTCATCCCATCTTCGGGTGTGTTTGGCAGCACAATTACCACTTCTTGACACTGTTCAGCCACGTTACGATATTGAGGGTTGTAGGCTTGAGACTGAGGCGCAAACTTGTAAGAGAAGGAGCAGTCGCTGCGGTAGTCGATAAAGAGGCGGTTCGGGGTATATGGCAAGTGGATGACGATACGGTGCGCGTCACGGGGTAGGTGAATATGGCTGTGGATGCTGACAGCAGGATGAGAGCTACGTGTTGGGAAGATGATAAGGGTATCAGCAGAGCATGGCGGAAGCGGACGTCTGCAGTCAAAGTCGAGAAGGCGCAGGACTGGAACTCTGTGAGGCGCTTCCCACCTTGGTCTGATCGGGAGAGAGGTTGTCATCCCAGCACGTCTGGGATGCAGATCGACGACTTGATCGAAGGAGCTTTGAGTTCAGCCCTCGGTACAAGACGGCCACAGACGGATCTGCTTGCCCACAAAGAGCAGGCGCTGCGGCTCCTTTCCCGAGCCTTGCGTATAGCCGTCCGGAAAGCTATCACTTTGAAGGATGATGATAAGCTTGGGAATGCGTAGGTCGATAACGTCCTTTACGGTTGAGCAGGTGGCGCGGCACCGAGCGAGTGTCTGAAATTGACCATCGAGGTGCAGCTGATGTAGGACATCGTCGAGGATGTGGGGGAAGACGAGAATGTCGAGGGTGGCCATCGATTTCTGTTTGATTGTGGATGCTGAAGAGGCGAACAACATAACAGCTAGGTCGTCCGGTACACGTACTCAGTCCTCTTGGGCGCAAATTGCCGCTGGTCACTTCGTGACGGACACTGTGTACCTCTCCGTCTGCATCGACCACATCGCAGGGAGAACTACACACGTTTCATCGGTCAATATTGGAGGTGGAGGGGGAGGAACACGGGCGTCTGGGTCTATCGATGACAACACAGCAAACTTGCGCGGAGCGGCTAGTCAATCAGCATCAACTCGAACAAGCTGTGGCCGATCTCGGCTGCGTACTCGGCCATCGTCAAAACCCAGATGCGCGAGGCTGACGATTCTGGGTCATAGATGGCCGGAGTATGGATGAGATATCGAAAGAAGAGTGCTCGCCAGGCGACGTTCAAGCGCTGGGGGCCATCCTCGTATTCCATCAGGCCGTGGTAGTCGCCCCACTCAGGGTCATCGTCTTCACAAAACCAGACCCAGTTCCAATTATCCGCCAGCAAGATCACCTCCAAGGACGGGTTGTGACACAAAACCTTGGCAAGTGAAAACATCCAATCTTTGAGGTATCGACCGGGCTCGGCGAGATCACCACAAGACGAGTTAGAGAACATCAAGACAAGCTGTTGGGGCTGCTGAACAATGTTTTTGAGACCGCGGTCATCGTCATGCGCTTTGGCAGCTGCGTAGCCAAAGTTGAAGTCGGGTGGTCTATCGTGCGGTCCCCCTTTGCTTTCATAGGGCATGTTGATGACTATGCGAGACGCCGTTGAAGAGAGTTCGACGTAGCGGGTAGAAGCTGCAGGCACTGCGAAGTGCGAAGAAGATGGAAAGATGATGACTGTTTTGGTGGCGGAAGGAATCGGCCCGCCAGGGTAGTCGAAGATGCGCACGACTGGCACGGGGCCGAGCTGGAAATTAGGACCACACCTGGATGCTGCAGCCATGATGGTAACATCGACCACTTCTAAGATCCGGTTGGTTGAACGACGGTCTGTGTAGGCGTTCCACAGCCGAGTTTCGCAATAAAGATGGAAGTGTTGTTGATGTTCATGGCTTCCTGGAGAAAGTGCATTGTTGGTGGCTTCATAGGCGACCGCTTTGTGAAGAGGAAGGCGGGAATCGATAACATGCTTCAACGCAGAGCAAGTGAGACGAAAGCTTGCGAGGGTCGCATACTGTGCGTCGAAGTGGAGATGAAACAGTACACTATCGATGATGTGAGGGAAGCAGAGAGCGTCGATGGTGATCATGGCGGGGCGTTGCTCGTGAAAGTCAAACAGTGAAGATGACCTGTCTTCCCCCTTCTTAATTCTTATCTGGTGGGCAGCGTACCATGCGACTTGTAGATTGTAGTATTGTAGTGAGTGTCTAGCCGCGGCGCTGGTCATCGCAGTAAGTGGAGGTGGAGGCGGAGCCCCATTCGCCCTCCACCAAATTTGCCACCCGCCCGACTCACCGCTGCAGAACCTTCCCTCGTCCAGCTGGCCGTCCAAAAGGCATTGGCAACCGTCCAAAAGACGAGGACACTTGCCTGTCCTGCGTTCTCCGCCAGGGAGTCGAACCCTGCTCTACCGCGATGGAGTCTCTCATTGAGAGGCGGTTATACTAACCGATATACTAGCGAAGAGGCGATGAAGTCCATCTCTGGACGTTCGCGGATCGACGGCGCGCACGCAATTCATTTCTGGCGGCTGCCCAACGCTGTAAATGAGCTGTTAGGACGTTAGGAGCATATAACGTGCACTCAAGCTGAGGTCCTGTTAGCAGGGAGCTCTGGAGAACAGGAGGGCCCATATTCGCAGGTGGTGGGATGATCCATGAGGACCTTGCCGATCATCTGGTGAGCCCTCGCTCCCTCCCATCCGTATAGCCTGCGATCTGCGAGGCTGCGCTAGAGTGCGCGGGTGCGAGCAGCTCATCTTCGACATTGAGACGCAAGTGCCAGATCCATCTGCTGCGGGCCACGCGAGTGTCCTGGCCCAAAACCCAACCCGATCGGTTGCGGGTGAGTCACTCGCGACCAACGACAATCAGTCGCACATCAGTCAGCTGCATTGTCTTCCTTTCGCCTTCATCCTCACCTTTTTATCCATTCTCTGCCTGTCAACACACTCTTCGACATGGCAACCCCACCACCAGATCCTCCTGAACGATCTCGACGTCCATCCAAGCCGTGCGAGCCTCAAATGACCAACGGGCACTGCAGGACTCAGCCTCCGGCCTCTACCTCGCCCGACCACGCGACCTCCTTTTCCACTCCAGACCAAGGCACACACAGCACACGACCACCACCCCCTCCCCGCATCAGCCCTCAGCACACAGCTGAGTATGCGCGCGGCCGCACCGAGTACATTTACCGCGAACGCGGAGCAGACTACGCCTTCACGCTCGCGACCAACTCGTACGCCGTCCCCGGTACCGGCAGCATCTACGTCCGCCATGTGCAGTCGACCTTTGCAGCGCCCATCCCCGAGGGCGAGCATGTGCGCGTCCAAGCCATGCGCGAAAGACCTCGCAACGAGCGCGACATCTCACCCCTGTCCCTCACCCGTCCCATGCTCGAGGATGAGCCGCCCAGCAACCCCGCGCCACGCCGTCGCTCACCCGAGTCGCGGCTCCGCGTGCCTCGCTCACGTACGAGTGAGAGTCCAACTACAGTCCTCGAGAGAGGTCGTATGCGCTCCCAGACCGACAGAGTGTCGTCGCCCGAACCAGAATCAGAACCCATGGTTGGAATGGATGTCGATCAAATCGGACATGCCGATGCCGCCGCGTCTGAAAGTCAAGTAACCAGCGATCACCTCGAGCTGTCCCGCGTCACCCCAGAGTAGTCGTACGAGTGAGCTGGCACACACCTGGCTGAGCTGACAACAGATTAGACAGGTCGATTTAATGTTGTTGTTGTACGATAGTCAGGTTGACTCTCGTCCGCGGCTCTTGGTCAGCATGGCCGCCGCGAATGTGATGCCTGTTGTGTCATGCTAAGATGTTAGTTGTGGTAGATGCACAGCAGCGACGAGTGCCCGGGGGTGCAGGAGATGGTGGGAAGGATGCAGTGTCAAGGAGGAATGCGGCGCAGCCTCGGGTTGGACTGCATGAATGAGCACGAGTAGGTTTAGCGACGGCAGCGCAGGGCGATCGGGCGATAGAGATGACATCAGGGGTGATATGGCGGGCGGAGAAGAGCGATGGACGCCCGGCTATTGGCTGGTTGTAGGCCGAGAAGCGTGACAGCGGGGGTGTGATCGAGGAGCATGGTCGAGAGTTGGTCCTTCTGTGAATTCGCCGGGGGTAGCAAACAAAATTGAACTCTAAGCAACTCGAAACATGCGAAACGGCTGTGCACAGTCGAGGCATTTGCAACGTTTGTCATGTCTGAACATGTCATCGCTCGCCGAGGAACGGTGTTGCGGAGTGTCTTGGTATCCCCAGCCCACAGATCTCGGCGTTGGCCCACATGGGATTCGGTATGTCAACCGCTCGAGGAGGGGGGAGGGCCAGAGGAAATGGCCGAGTAGCAATAGAGGTCGATCACCGGCACAAGACATTCGCGACAGTCCGTAGCACGTCACATGAGCACTATCCACTGCCCGCACGCCCGCACCGCCCTGTCCTATCGGTCTCATCCATCCCCCAGTTCCTACTAAATACCAAGCCCATCGGTCTCTTCCTCCTTTCCATCCCAACTTTCATCCTCCAGCCCACTCCTTCAACCCATCATGCTCTACCTCGTCGCTGCGGTCCTCGTACCGTTGGCGCTCTACCTCTACCTCTACCCATTGCGCGAGGCTCGCCTTCCCTACAAGAACCTCCCAGGCCCCAAACCCGTGTCTGGCTTCTTTGGAAGCTTGGGCGAGCTCACTGCCCGACCCCTCACCTCTCGCTACTCGCAGCTCAAGGACAACTATGGCACGACCTCGCGCTTCCGTGCGCTCCTCGGCAAATGGCGCATCGTCTCGACCGATCTGACGGCGATCACCCATGTCCTCAGGCACACAGGCACCTGGCACCGTCACGAAACCTTCAACGTCATGATTGACCGCATCACCGGCCGCGGCGTGCTCTCCGTTGAGGACGAGGACCACCGCCGCCAGCGCCGAATCCTCAACTCGGCGTTCAACGGGACGGCGGTGAACAACATGGTGCCCATGTTCTGGGAGGAGGGCCGCATCCTTCGTGACCACATCGACCAGCAGCTCGGCGGCGACGAGGCCAAGCCCCTCGACGTTCTCCAGAACTACACCGGCATCGCGCTCAGCATTATTGGGCGTGCCGGGTTCAACTACGACTTCCAGTCGCACGAGCGTGACACAAACCCGCTCGCCGTCGCGTTCAACAACATGATCAACGCCTCGCTGGAAAACAAGATGGCTGCGCTGCTGCAGAATGTCTTTGCCCTCCCGTTCAACATCAGCCCGACGTCTCATTTCGCTCAGAAGAAGTCGCGCTCGATCGTGGACAGTATTGGCGCCCAGATCGTCAGGAACCGCAAGGCCGAGATTGAGCGCGACCACATCTCGCTCGAGAAGGGAGACTACGAGGGCAAGGATGTCATCAGCCTGTGTCTGCGTGCCAACATGCTCGCGGACCAACGCGACCGCCTCACGGACGCCGAGGTCATGGGCCAGATTGGCGCCCTCATGCTCGCTGGCAACGAGACGAGTGCCAACGCCCTGTCGTGGGCGACGTATCACCTGTGCCAGAACAAGGACATCCAGAACCGTCTCCGCGAGGAGGTCATGGCCGTGCCGGACGAGCCGTCGGGCGAGGAACTCGACGCGATTCCCTACCTCGACCAATTCGTAAAGGAGCTGCTGCGCTTCGAGCCGCCGCTGCCGCAGGTCGTCCGCCAGGCATCCGAGGATACGGTGATCCCGCTCGGTCAGCCCGTGACTGGTCGCGACGGCAAGCTCATGACCGAAGTGCACGTCAGCAAGGGCACCGACTTTGTTGTCCCCATCAACCTCGTGAATCGCCTGCCAGAAATCTGGGGACCGGACGCCGAGACCTTCAACCCCGACCGCTGGGCGCAGAAGGGATATCCGAACACCTACATCCCGGGTGTTTGGGGCAACCTCCTCTCGTTCATTGGAGGGCCGCACCACTGTCTCGGATTCCGGTTTGCGCTGCTCGAGATCAAGGCCGTGCTCTTCGTCATGGTGCGCAACTACGAGTTTGACTTCATCCCGCAGGGTCCGCAGGTCATGCGCATTGCGCCTGGTATTATTCAGCGTCCCGTCGTCATGGGCAACGAGAAGGCGGGCATCCAGATGCCGGTCATGGTCAAGAAACTGTCGGCGGAGGTGCGCGAGCAGGCTGCGTAGATGGAGGTTTGGGTAGTTGTAGTTCGGTCGTTCAGAAGAAAATTCAGAAGTTGTCTAAGGAGAGAACGGGTCATGCATGTGATTACGGGATACGGTCGGCCGCGGGTATGAGAAACAGGCGCACATGTCCGCGATCTTGGAATGGGAGAGGGGTGTGCCGTGTGCCGTGGGGTAAGAGAGTCGTGCCAAGGTGGGCTCCGGACGGGAGGCTAAGCATGACTAGTCAGCGGCCAGCAGCGCACGGCTCCGTGTGGATCGAGTGGAGGTCAGTCGGTCACTGTACGGTGGAGGGCAGTGGGCAGGGCGAGAGTCAAAATCGGACAAGGCCGCCGAAAGAGTGCCCGGCTAAGCCCAGGCGGCAGGTACCGGTCACCGGATCCCCCCTGTCTCGCCTTTGCCGGAAATCCTCACTCGGGGCAAGCCCCATAAAGAGGACCCAGCTAGCGTTCCAACTTTGCATCCTCATTCTCCCATCCCCTCTCCAACTCGTCCCACAATGGCCATCGACCAGTACCTTCAGAAGAACCCCGACGACGTCGTCGTTACCTGCGCCCTCCGCACCCCTCTCTGCAAGGCCCGCAAGGGAGCCTTCAAGGACGCGACCTACGATGAGCTTCTCCTCGCCACGTTTGAGGCCGCCAAGGAGAACATTGGCGTCAAGCCCGAGCAGATTGACGACATTTGCGTTGGTACCGTCACCACCCCGAATGGACCCAACACTGCGCGTGTCGCGGCCCTCAAGGCCGGCTTCCCCAACACCGTCCCCATCCAGGTCATCAACCGCTTCTGCTCGTCTGGTCTCATGGCCTGCTCCGTCATTGCGAACCAGATCCGCAACAAGGAGATCGACATCGGTCTCGCTGTCGGTTACGACAACCTCACCTTCGCTGGTGGCAAGAGCTTCGACTTCTCCCCTGAGATCATGAGCAACCAGGAGTGCGTTGACTGCACCAAGCCCATGGGCTGGACTGCCGAGAACGTCGCTGGTGACTTCAACATCTCCCGTGAGCAGATGGACGCCTGGGCCGCCAAGTCTCACCAGGCCGCGGCCAAGGCCGACGCCGAGGGAATCTTCAAGGACGAGATTGCCCCGGTCCGTGTCCCCCGTGTCGTTGACGGCGAGCGCAAGACGGTCATTGTCGACCGCGACGACGGCATCCGCCAGGGAACCACCAAGGAGTCGCTCGCCAAGGTCCGCCCCGCGTTCCCGCAGTGGAAGCCCGGACAGACCACTGGTGGAAATGCGTCCCAGATCACCGATGGCGGTGCCTTCGTCCTCATGATGACCCGCCGGAAGGCCGAGGAGCTCGGCCTCCCCATCCTCCTCAAGCACGTCGCTACTGTCCAGTCCGGCCTCGCTCCTCGCATCATGGGCATTGGACCCTCGATCGCCATCCCCCTCCTGTACAAGCGCCTCGACATTAAGCAGTCCGACATTGACATGTTCGAGATCAACGAGGCCTTTGCGTCCATGATGGTCTACTGCGTCGACAAGCTCAACCTCCCCTGGGACAAGGTCAACGTCAACGGAGGTGCCATCGCCCTCGGACACCCCTTCGGATGCACCGGTGCCCGCCAGGTCGCCACGGGCTACAACGCCCTCAAGCGCGCCGGAGGAAAGACGCTCGTTACCTCCATGTGCATTGGAAGCGGAATGGGCGCCGCGGCTCTCTGGATCCGCGAGTAAAAAGTGTAGTCTGGTCGGAAGTGTAGGCGTCTAGGGTTATGCATTGTATAGCAGTTCACGAGCGAGCCAAGCGAAGAGAGCAACGAGCACAGCGAGTCGTGGCCAGCCAGTGACTCTGAGCAGGAGCTGGGAGCAGGGAGCAGAGAGCAGAGAGCAGCAGGTGTGAGAGGTGGAGACGGTGGGCAACGTACGCGGGTGGCATTCGGGGTTGACCCGGCCGAACGCACCGGAAACCAGGCACGCCAGGTCCGCAGGTCCAGGTGAGTCCTTAGCGCTAGGTAGCCGATCTCGGCGTTTCACCCTGCGATCAGCCCTCATGCAGTCATCACCTTGTTAGATCCATAGGCATGGGCGGAAGGTAAGGCGCAGCGGGGGAGGAGCGCAAGCCTAAGCAGAAAGGTGGAGGCCAGAGTCTGGCCACGGTCAGGCTGTTGACCTCATCCTCATCAGCTTCGTCAACCCTCGTCAGCTGCGTCAGCTTCATCTGCCTTCCTCGTTCTTGCCTTCCTCCATCCTTTGTTTACCTTTCACATCGACCTTGACAACATCACTTCTTCACCTCACGCGACTGGTGGGCTAAGAGTCCTTCTCTGGCACAGCTGACTCGCAGCTCTCCCCTTGCTTCTAGCATTGGTCGGTGGCGAAAAATCGAGTGAGCTAAAAGCTCTACGCCTGCACGAGGTCTAGCTGACACAACAGCCTGGGTAAGCTAGGCGAGACACGGAGGTTCTTTCCTAGCTTGCACAACAGCATGGGTAAGCTATGTGTTGCAGCAGGCCTTCTCCAGCTGATACCTCAGCCTGAGTAAGCTACTCGTACCAGGAGGCTCGTCTTAGCTGACACACCAACCTGTGGAAGCCTGCAACGCCAGCACATCGGCGTCTCAAGCCGACACGCAGGTCAGCACGAATTGCGACTCGTGAGCTGAACAAGCACTACGAGCTGACAGACAGAAGAGAGGTGAGCTGACCAAACTTGTACGTACATGAGCTGACGACGCAGTGGTGAGCTTCCTCGTGAAATCTGACAAGCTCATCCGCAGTCCTGTGGAGCGCGAGTCGTGAGCTACAGTTGCTCGTGGTTGGTGTAGCTGACAAACAGAAGAGGGGTGAGCTTACCATAGTTGTAGAGGAGCTGACGACGCAGAGTAGCGAGCCTCTTCCTTGCATCTGCCGAGCTGACGTGCAGTCCTGAGGACAGCCATTTGTGAGCTAGATCGGATTAGCTGTAGCTGACGGACAGACGAGGGGTGGGCTTCCCGTGTGTGCGAACGGGCTGACGTGGCAGGTGAGCTCCCGTTTTCGCCATATCGTCAGCTCACACACAACCCTTGCGAGTCCAAACCTGGGGATGGTCGTAGGGATGAGCTGTCCTGGCCGCTTTGAGCTGAGGTCAACAGTGTGGCGAGCTTTATCACAGGGCTGTTAGTTGACGAACAGACAGCGTGAGCTACCAGAGCGAGCGCCGCTAGCTCACATGCAGCCCATGCGAGGCCACGCCTGAACAGTAGGGGTGAGGTGAGCGATTGACTCTTCATTGACTTGTTAAGCGGGATGTCTTGGGTTGTATCCTTCGTTCGGAGTGGCCGACGGATAGTCGAGTCAAGGTGAGCTGCTTATCGCGTAGTCTTAGCTGACGAAGCAGCGCTGAGCTACAACGCCACAAATGACAGCTCAAGAGCAGTCCAGTGTGGAACAGTGTAGAGGTGAGCCTAGCGGTGGATTTTTTTGAAGTTGGTTCTGGCGGCTTATAGGCTGACGAAGCAATAGTGAGCTGCGAAACCTCGAAGAACGAGCTCACGCGCAGCTCCTATCCAGAAAGAAGCGCAAGGGTGAGTCTGAAGGGGGCGGAGAAGCAGGCACGCAGTCCTGCTGTCAAGAAGACGGCGCAAAATGAGTTGAGCTTCCCGGTGCTCCAGAGCTGATAAGCTAACAAAGCAGAAAACGTGAGATACCAACCTTTCGGGCGGGAGCTCAACACAGCCCATTGAGCAGCACAGACATGAGCTGAATGAACTTCGTCAGCTGACAACACAGATCGCCGCGAGCCATGTCGTCCAGCTTCATAGCGCATAGGGGCGGGAAGGTGAGCTATCTTCGGCAGCCTTCTAGCTAACGGTGCAGAGTTATGAGCTACCTCGCCGGCTAATAGCTCACATGAGTCCCCGTCGTCCAGGCAGTAAGTGAGGAAGGCCTAAAGACAGGTGAGCTATTCTCCTGAGTGGAACGTAGCTAATCCCAGTCGCTTGCTTGATAAGCTGTGGTTCCTTGGTGGTACAGCCGGAGATCAGCTCGCGCAGTCTCAACACATGGCTGATGAGGGTGTGAGCTTCATCGCCACGGATGACGAAGATGACGCGTAGCAGACCTGAGTGGATGTAGGTGAGTTATTCAGTATGGGGAGATCGCACACCAGGTGCTTGACATGATCGAGCGTTGCTTGGTTGGGCTGACTTCCACCCTCAGCTGCCAACTGCCAGCTACCATGAGATGCGGCACAGATCCCTTCCCCGACGGTTTCAGCTCTCTTACTGCCCAACAACAACATTCGCAAGTGAGCTGAGTAGCTCCCTGGGAAAGCTGACCATGAGCAGTGTAAGTGGTCTGTCCGACTCTGAAGTTTAGCAGTCGACCACTTCAACAGGTGAAGTGGGCGCGGACAAGCAGTGAGCTCTTTGTCAAGTTGTGGAGAGCCCATGCACAGTTTGCGATGAACATTGGGGTAAGCCTGTGACGGGCTGATCTCTGGCGTTATGGGTGAGCTAAACAACTGGATCGAGCTGACGACCAGTGCTCAGGAATAGTCAGCAGCGGAGCAGAGACGTTTCCGCTGACTGTAAGCGTTCTCCTCCGTTGGTGAATGAAGCTCGTGCGCAGCTCTGTGGACTGGGATGAAGGTGGGCTCAAGTACGATCCAGTGATCAGAGCTAACCTCAGATTTTTCCGGAGCTCTGTTCATCACCGGCTCCTTGAGCTGGGAGTTCACGCAGTGAACTGGTGACTCGGATTAAACTGAGTGTACTCACGGCCACGGCAAACCGAGAGCGATCGGCTTCAAGTGCCCTTAGCTCACCCTCAGCCCATGGCAACCAGTTGGTGAGTTGACGAAGGTGTCTGACGGGATGCCCCCTGGATCAGCTGCTGAGAACAATCACTTCAGGGGAGAGACGGCGTGGGCGTAGCTGACGCACCAGACAGTGAGCTGAGCTCACGAGGCAGAGAGCTCACACACAGACCTCGGAGCTTGAGGAAACATGAAGTGAATAGTAGTGAGCTCTCAGGGTCTGTGTCTTATCCAGCTAACTTCAGAATTATGAGCGACTGTTTTCTAACCGGAAAAGTCCTCAAGACCACACCGGGCGTGTGCTGCCGCAAGATCGTTGTGAGCTGATCTTCGGCAGCCCTCAGTTTGGCGGCGCTGCAGAACTGTAAAACACTCGATCTACCCGTGCCTGCGTCAACCACCACTCTGCTGGTCCCGTCCACCACCGCTCACAATCCACCGCTCACTACCCACCACTCCTCCCGCCTACTCATCCCGCAAAAGAACAGCAAAAGGGGAATCTCTCTATCGAGAGGCTCCGACCCCGGCCCGACTCGAACGGACAACCTTCAGGAATCGTAAGATATCCCAGTCATTGGAATCTGAAGCGCTACCAATTACGCCACGGAGTCACCGTGATGTGGTCACGTGATGCATCGTGGCCGCTGGCTTGTGAGCCGTGCCCAGTCGATTTGGATGTGCATTGGGAGTTTCAAGAGTCGTGTAATCTCCAGCGCGAAGGCAAAGCCAAAATGCAGTTCGACGGGACGTTCCGCCGTCCTCGGCATGCAGTCTTGGCGACCGCCTGACCCCGGTCTCCGGATACTCGACCCGTTCCGCTCTTCTCCTTAACCATCGAGCAGACGGGGCCACGGAGCCCAGACCGCGTTCGCACGTAAGCCAAAGTGTTATGGCATCAGCCTTGGCCTGTTTGACACAGCTAGCAGAGCATCAAAGACGAGATGCAATAAAGAAGAAATCATGCCTATCACCGAGCAGTTCGTAGAGCGAGTGCTTTGGGTTGCGTCGGGTACCTGAAATCGGCGCGTCACAGAGACTACACCTCGCAGGTACATGTCTCCGCTGTTGAAGCTCTGACAGCGAGCACTGCTCTGCGCACAGCAGAGGAGTACGCGTGCAAGTGACAGAGGGTGTCTTTGGTGAGTTGCAGGTGTTTCTTAGACAAACGATCTGCAAAATCGCGTCCCGCCCGCTGCCGGCCCAGGGATTGGGGACGAGATCGGACTATTTCAGGAAAAAGCGGCAGTCATCCTGCGAAAAATATCTTCTTCTTTGGGAGGCGTGCGCGCCACTGACGCGTGCAGACGCCGCTGCGAGCGGATCACGAGCTAGCCTTGAGTCACTGGCTGCAGTAAGCCAGACATGAATACTCTGTGGCCCTTAACCCCACTGTGACCAGACCTTCTGAGCCCACCAACAACGCCTCGTGCCTGTCACCGGATTAGGTTGGGCTTCTGGCACCCCGCCAATGGCGGTCGAATGCTTCGGGCCACTTTACGCCTCTCGGGAGAGGTGTTGCATGTCGACTGCTATGATGCGTGAAGCATGCTTGGCCAGAGTGTTTCGAGTGGGAGAGGTGCTCAGGGCGCCGTGCCAGGTTTCGCTCACCCAGGCAGCTCATGAGTTTGGGAGAGACGCCGAAATCGCATTATTACGTCGCGGCCAGGGCCACGGTCTCAGAAAGAATTCTACTTTGGCTGGCCCGTGGATGGGGTTGGCTGACATGGCTGAGGTGGGCTGGGGACTTGGCTGGGTACTTGGGCGGAGGAAATTCCTGGGCAGGTCAAGGTTGCTCGGCGTTAAACCTGACACAAGGCGCCCGCGGCTGCGCACAAAGGGAACCCATCCGGTAGCTGCCCGCATATCTTAGTGTGCTTGCCGGCGCGCAACGAGTCCAGCCCATCAGCCCGGCGTGCGTCGCTGGGCGCTGGGCATACCCTGCCCATGGATGTTGCCGATCATTTTGCTGTTCTCCACACTCTCTCCCACACTCCTCAACTGATACAGCAGCCATCCTTGGCAGCGACTTCGCCCCCTCCGACCATGAGCTGGCCAAGCTGGAACCGCCCGATGGGCGCGCTCGCGGTTCCGACACCGGCGAAGCGTGACGAGGGGCAGCCGGCGAACTCAACTTACTGGATGGACATTTCCGCTGTGGACGGGTTCTGGGCATTTGTTGAAGCCAAGTACTTTGTCTACGAGACCATGTCCTCGCTGGAGTGGTCGGAGACGAACCACACGGCATGGACCTTTGTTCTCAATCGGACTTACACCAACGAGACTCTCCTTGCACTTCAGAAAGCGCAGCGTGGGGCGGACAGCGAGGTGAGTAGGTCTGAAAGACGCTCGGCTGACCGCAGTATGCGAATGCTGTCTTCAGCTTCAATGCCAGCAAGATCGAACTCGAGTTCGAAGGCTCGATCAACAACAGCTCGTTCCGCATCTACCGACCGCGTGCACAGTTCACGGATGTGATCGGAGGGTACACGGCCGAAACGACTGCGACGCAGGAGTACGATGGGAGGCTCAAGATCAAGCGCGACCTCGCCGATACTCGGTGGTCTTGCAACGTGCTCTTCTACGCAGAAGGCGATTTTTCATTCAGGCGCGGCCGGTTAGGCTTCGATGCCCCTCCGGATACAACATTCAAGGAGACCACCGTCCCCGCGATGATCGATGCCGAGCCGAACCCAGCCTTGAAGCGTTATTTCCTCGGGGAAGATCCTGAGGCGAACGCACTGAAGATTCTGGAGGACTACCCGGAGGTCTCAGCTTCCCTCCCCGAATGGTTCAACGGGCGCGAAGACCTCGGCAGCTCGCACCTCCCTTTGACCGGGCGTAATGTGGTTGTGTACGATGTCCCTGCCAACACAAGTCTTCTTTCTGTCAAGGGTCCGCGGTGGACACCCCACACTGTGGGGTCGCGCTGCTACTTTGCATTCGACCCGCCACGGCAGTTCATGGGGGACGTTTGGGCGACACCCTCGAACGGAAGCCATGCCGTCAACATCACGAATCTGGATGCGGGGCTTGGAGGCGTCAAGGCGGAATCCGACTTGGACTGGTCTGTCGTCAGCAGCAGCGTCGGCTTCGGCCGCCCTAAGACGTCCGGGATCGACAGCGTGGACGTTCTCCAGCCAATTCTCCACTACGACACCCCCACAAGAGCCGTTACAGCTGGTGAAGCCGAGCACACATGGGAACCGGGACCGACCATACAGGACGTGCGCCTCTTCTTTTCACGACTGGATCCGACGGTCAAGTACACGCTCACTATCGGATCACAGGATAGCATCTGTGTCTTTCATAGCTTGGAGGTCGTGCAACAGGACAAATTCGCGAAGATCGAGCCGAACAACGACGGCTCGGGCAACTCTTCCGCCGGTTCTGGTCCACCTGACGGCGGGAACAGCCACTCTGGCGGACTCTCTGGCGGTGCGATCGCGGGCATCGTTGTGGGATGCGTCGTCGGCGTTGCGCTGCTACTTCTGCTCGGATTCTGCTGCTGGAGGCGACGCAAGTCGACTTCCAAGGGCGAAGATTTCGAGATTGCAGATGTTTCGACGCATGAGAGCAAGCCACTCGCGGAGATGGGGGCGCCCACCCCGATCATGCCTCGAGGAGACTTCCCAGGTCGCCACACTGCATCTCAGACATCGCAGGATGGGTTTGCCACGACTAGCGGAACGGGCACGAACACGGTCACACTCGAGACGCTTGGAACGCTCGGCACGAACTCGACGTCGTCGAACACAATGGGCCAGCACACGACCCTCCCTCCGACGGTCGTGCGACACGAGGAGGATGCGGGTTCGCTCGAGGCCGAGCTGCCCGAGGGTACTCGCGGCGGAGAAGTTGTGCTTCCGCCCGTGTACCGCGACGAGTGGGTGGACAGGCGTGCCGGGCGAGGTTTGGGCATCAGCACCGACGTTGCGCGCTCCGACCCATCAGCACTCACCGCCGAAGAGATCAAGTACCTCGGCCCGCCGACTCCAGGCGCGACATTGTCGTCGCCCATTACGCCGGGCTCGTCATCAGGGCACACTTTCGGTCACTGGATGAACCAGCCCCTTTCCCCCGGCGCACGAGTCAGTCCTACAGCCTCGCAGCCCCTCTCGCCGCTGTCAACTACGCCGGCCGGCAAGACACCTCTGCACCCTCTGCAGACTCTGGCGTTGTCGCAGCCGGGCTCATCACCACACTCTCCAGCTACAACGTCCCCGACGTACTCAGCATCCGCAACGTCGCCGACATCGCCCCTCGAGTCGCAACCGACCGGTTCTGTGCCTGAGACTAACCCTCTCGTCACACCGTTCCCGTCTGACATCCAGCCGTCTGACAACACCCCGACCACGCCGAACGGCTTCCCGAAGGACTTGAAGCAATGAACTGCGCCATTATAAATATCACAGACACTTTTCGACGTCTTTTCAGAGCACCGTACGCTCATGGCATAGCTTAGAGGCGGGGCTTGACCTACACCCCGCATGTTGTACCCCATAGATTGTCATGAACACGCATATTCACACACACAGCTACGATCCATGGGAGGGATAGGGGCTGCGCACGTGTCCTCTGCCCTAGCTGGTGGCTTCCAAGTAGGCCGGTAATACATTGGGGAGTACAACCAAGTTCTGCCGATGACCGGTCGTCGGAATCCCCCCATTAAGCGCTGAGCTCGGCTAGACTCTCTCGTTGGTCAAATTCCGCAGATAAGATCGGCTAGACTCTTCGGCCCCGAGGTCTCTTGACTGGTCTCTGGACCAGCCAGAATCCACATCACACCCCCGGCGGCCGGGTGATCGCGGCTACTGCGCTACTTGCGTCATTAACAAAGCTAGCGCAGAAGTTGGGCCTGAGCAGACGCTCGCCTGACTGCTTATGGTCACGTTCCGTGCCAGGTTGGCCATAGCGCCCCAGCCTTCCCAGATGACCTTTGACGCCGGCCAGTCCGCATGCGTCATGCATGACAGTCGAATGCTAACTTCGTCTGCTGATTGTTTCTCGCTGGCGGCGAGGTCACACTGCTGAATTATCTGGAACCAGCGCAAGCTTTCGCTCATCAAGTGAACTCTTGGGGTTCTCTAATAACCTTTCCACCTCCATAGTGTCGCCCGGCGTTCGGCAGATAGTCACAGACTGTTTCGGTGTTGATGTCACCGCTCTTGAGCCGTGCGTTGCCGTCCTCGAACTCTTTGTGATCGGGTAATGACGCTAACTCGCGCACTCCGGAGCTTCCTGATCGCTATCTGGAGCTTGATGCGGGGAATTGCTGTCTATTCCTGCCCCAGGAATGAGCCCCGTCGACTGCGTCGCCTAGCCCCCACGGAGCACGACACTCGACGAGGTCGCGAGCGGACTGGAGGTGCCGCTCAATCCTGAGTCGTTCGGCCGTGCAACACCCTCGAGAGGATCACACGACACACCAGCCCCGTGGAGGTCAGCTGCGCTAGTGCCGTACTCCACAACCCCACCGTTGCCCCAGTGACCTCGAGAAGACCGAGGTCAACGAACCATCCCGCCAATGTGCGCGCATACCTCACGCTACATAGCCCGGACGTAACACACGGGTCTAGCAGTGTCAGAAAAAGCTGGAACGAGCTGTCTACTGCGGAGCAACTCCTCGGGGGTGCGGAACGACTGTGATCCCCAAGCCCGAGAGGTCGCCGTCCGCCCTGGTGTTCAACCGCTCTGTGCCGGCCAGGGTGGTCGTGCCGCTTGTGCCGACGAGTGAGGTACCAGCGAGGAACCGTGTCATGCCGTTGTGTGCCGGTGCCGCCAGGGTTGAAACGGGTCACCTACGTAGGTACGGGAGTGGATTTTTCTGGTTTTTCTGGAGCGTGAATTGACTAAGCACCCCCATGGTCCGGTGAGCATGGCAGTGGTCCAAAGACCCTCTCAGGTCCATGGCCGAGGCGGTCCGTTTATTGGCTGACATAATTCTGTGGTTTTCCCGACATTTTTCAGCTGAGAGCGGCAACCCCACTTGACCCTAGGCCGAGGCTACATGTCATTGGCCATTGTCCGTGGACACCGACGCTTCAGCCAGCAGTTGCCGTTGCATGCCTGCTCATGCCGCGGCGGACGCTGCTATTATTGGTGCCTCCTGTCCATGTGAGAGGCTTGGACAGGGTATCGTCGACCTTGTCAAGCCACGGTCGAGTGATCAACCCCCTTTCCCAGCAAAGCTTGCAACGTGCCTTAGCTTCGTTCACCCACTCTCGGTCGTCTCTTGCCGCTCCTCTGCGGCCGGTGTCGTCTTTCCGCGGCGACATTCGAAATCTTCCTCTACAACCCGACCCGGGACATCCGGCAAAGAGCGGTCCCACAGGGCTCCTCGCACTCCAAGGTGTTCAGGAAACAGGTTGTTGCGGGCGACCCGGCGGGGCTCTACGACGATGTGGGGGCACCTCGGGCGCGATATTCGATAAAACCGACGTACTCTCACTGGACTGTGGAAAAAACGACGCTAAGCAAACATCTATAAGAAGCAGACGATTCTTGGGTTCGAGGATCCCCCACAGTCCCCCATCCCCTCTCCAACAACAGCAACAAGGAGTCAAGTTTGATCGACATCGATATCGACGACTGATTACGGGAACCACACACCACCTCCACCCAGCGCCACCAAGCCACAACCACCATGTCGGGAGTTCAAGCCGACCAGCGCGTCTCTGTCGAGAGCAAGCCTTACGAGGACCGCAAGGAGATGCTCGACGACGACGTCGACCGCCACTATGCCGTCGAGATCCCCCAGATCCTGAAGGATGTTGGTCCCGAGGAGCAGGGTCGCATCGACCGCCGCGTCACGCGCAAGATCGACATGCTCCTCATGCCCCCTCTCGTCATTCTCTTCATTCTCAACTTCCTCGACCGCAACAACGTTTCCACTGCCAAAGTTGGCGGCATGACTGAGGACCTGCGCATGTCTGGCCAGGAGTTCTCCACGGTCGTCGCTGTTCTTTTCGCCGGTTACATTTCGCTTCAGGTCCCTTCCAACATGATCGCCTCGCGTGTCAAGTGGCCCTCGTTCTACATCTGCTGTATGACCGCTGCCTGGGGAACCGTCTCTGCCTGTACCGGTGCCGTCAACAACTACCACGGTCTCCTCGTCTGTCGTTTGATTCTTGGTTTCACCGAAGCTGCCTTCTTCCCCGGCGCGCTCTTCCTGCTCTCTCTCTTCTACACCAAGCGCCAGATCGCCTTCCGCACCGCCATCCTGTACTCTGGTTCGCAGCTCGGTAACGCCTTCGGAGGTCTCTTCGCCATGGCCTGTCTCCAGCTCGACGGCACCCACAAGCTCGAGGGCTGGCGCTGGCTCTTCATCATCGAGGGTGCCATGACGGTCGGCTTCTCGCTCATCTTTGCCACCTTCATCCCGAACCGTCCTGAGACCTGCCGTTCGTTTACCGACGCTGAGCGCGCCCAGGCCGTCTACCGTCTCCAGCTCGACCGCGCCACCAAGGATGCCTCGTCCGAGATGTCCATTGGCACTGCCACCAAGCTCGTCTTCACCGACCCCAAGGTCTACCTCATCATGATCGCTCTTACCGTCAACTTCATCGCCTCTGCAGTCACAAACTTCTTCCCTGTGGTCATTCGCGAGATGGACCCCGACTACTCGAAGATCCAGAGCCTGGGAATGACTGCTCCGCCTTACGTTCTTTGTGTTATCACCATTTGGATCATGGGCTACTGGTCGGACCGCATCCAGCGCCGCACGATCTTCGTTGTCATCTCCATGGCCTTCAACGTGCTCGCCAACATCATCGCTGTCGCCACCACGAACGTTGGAGCGCGTTACTTTGCGATGATGCTCATGCCCGCGTCGTTCTACACCTCGTCGACGATCATCCTCTCCTGGATGTCCTCGACGATCGTCGGCCCTGACATCAAGAAGGCTACCGCTTTCGCCCTCATCAACGCCGTTGCCAACACGAGCAACATCTGGACCTCGTACCTCTACTTCGGTGCTCCCCGCTACGTTGTCGCCTTCGGCGTTAACCTCGGTGCCTCCGTCGTCGTCATCCTCCTCATCCTCGTTCTTGCCGGCTATCTGTCCCGCCTCAACAAGAAGCTCGACAATGGCCAGTCGCTCGGCAAGAACGGCCCCACCGACGTCCAGATCGAGGGCGGCTTCCGCTTCCAGATCTAAAAAGTGCACTTTGCTGCATCATCTTGCATATTCCATAGGTATACCCAGAATTGTAATATCATGTAATTGTTAGACCGCGACATTGGGCGCCACCCGACCTTCACCCTGGAGCTCCACACTGACGCTGATCACTGACGATCACTAACCACGCATCCTCCTACTTGGCAGCGAGGAGGTCTGCGTACCACCTCTGCGCAACGTCGGGGTGCGAGCGTAACCGAGACTTGAGCAAGTTGTCACCATAAGTCTCGAAGATCTGATCGTCGTGCGTGGTGTCCACCTTCCGTTCTCCTCTCTCTCCGTCCACCTCCTTCTTCAGCTCCTCCGGCAAAGTGATCTTCGGCAACCTGGCCTCGAGGCCGGGGTTGAAGAACATGGGCACGCTGATGCGCTCCTCTCCGGGTACGACGCGATGTACCGTGGCCTTGAGGTATCCGTCTGTAGCGAGTTCAACCATCTCGCCAATGTTGCACACGAACCCGTCTTCGGGAGCCGGGGCAACGTCAGCCCACGCCCCATCACGCCAGACCTGCAACCCGCCCACGCCAGGCTGGACCCAGAGCAGCGTCACGCACCCTCCGTCCTTGTGCGCGCCGACGCCGAGGGGCTCGTTCTCGCTTCGGTCCGTAGGCGGGTATCGCACAATCTTCATGCGCGTCGTCGGGTTCTCGAAGTGTCGGTCGAAGTAGTCCTCCTCTTGACCCAGGGAGCGCGCCCACGCCCGGAGGAGCAGGTGCGCTGCGTCGCCGACTACACGCTGCCACTCGCCCACTATGCCCTTCAGGCCCGGCACAGCCGCTGGCCACTGGTTCGGCCCCGGGAGACGGTAGTAGGCCGGCTTGCCTTCGAGCTCTTCGGAGCTTAGGGCCGGCACCTCAGGCCAGATGTCGAGCATCTCGCGCGTGTTCGCCTCGCCCTGTGTGCGCTCACCGAAGGGGCGGGTGTATCCCGAGAACCGTGGCCTGCGCGTCAGCTCGAACGTCCTGCTGATCCTTTCGCCTGCGACGGCGACAGCTCGGGCAATGGGAGTCCTGTCTCCAAGCATAGTGGTGCTCACGAGTTGACCATCTCGATCTGCCTCTTCTCCTCCTCGGGCAGGGCGAAGAACTCTCGCGCGCTTTCCAGTATCCGCTCCCCGAGATCGCCAAGCGGCACACCGACGAGGTAAAAGAAGCCGATGTTGCGGGTCACGTCGCGGAGCTTGCGCTCGAACGCGGCCGCTGTGTCGGGTTGCGCGAGGTCGCGCAGGTCGAGTATTGGCAGCGACGCATCGTTTTGGGCGGTCATCGTAAGTAAGAAGCCAGGAGAGGAAGGTGTAAGATGCAAAAGTGTGTGGATGCAAATCAGTGGTCACGCGCTCGGGTAGGCGGTAGATAAGAACGCGAGAGGAAGCCCACATGACGTGATTGCCGGAGTTGGCCGAGTCGGACTTCCTCCGTAACCCTCCTTACTTTCCATTGTCTGACAGCGTCCGATTGTCGCTTGGGATCGATAAGCTGGAGAAAACTGTGGAGTGTACTATCGTACAGATGCTGTAGCAATGTGCACCGTCGCTGCATTCCCGAGAGATTGACAGAGTGAATAATGTTCTGACCTCAGTGCCGGGCCACACCGGATAACCCTCACATTACTGACGACCTCGAAGCCAGCGGCTCCTTGAAGCTCCCTGGCAACCAGCCGCCGTTCGTTTGCGTGGAGTGATCTTGCACCTCTTATTCAACGTGGACGGTGCTTCCTCGTGAGCAACGATGGATGGAACGCCAGGGCCCCGATCCAGCACCCTACCAGCAGACCGTGCGCCTCATCCGGCCCCGCGCGACCCCCGCCGACGCACGACGCACGACGCACGAGCATGTAGCCGTTGTTCCTCAGTATCCTATATGTTCCAGCAATGTCTTGCTGGCCGATCATGATGCAGTGGGAACGGAAAGGGTGTACCCGCAGAGGATATGGAACGAAACGCCTCCGGAAGGGCGTTCAACCCCTCTGACTAGTGGACAGGCGCTCTGGCCTTCCTCGCGAGACGAGCGTCGGCTTGCGGTATCGTAGGCCGCAGATCTGTTGTCAAACGCTCCCCCATTCGTCAGAGATCCGCATCATCTTCATGATTGAGCGGGCGGTGGAAGATAATGACTGAATGGTCCGATGTCGTGGATGTGCGGGCATCGGGCTGTAATGACCGTGGAGATGGGACGCGTTCCTTGAGTTCCCAGTTTCGTCCTCTCGTGAGCTGGAACGTCGAGGATTGTGAGTTGTTGCGTATCAGTAGCAGCATGAGTTTCGTGCTTAAGATGTGTTGCAGGACCCCCTCGCTGAGCGAGTGATGAGGAGAGAGGACGTTTGTTGATGAGTTGAGGTTAACGGAGGGTGAAGTGGACCGCACGTGGCCGGTTTCATGTCTCAGTGCACTACACCAGCCATCCATTCACCTGAGCTGTGCCAAGCCCTCGGGCCCACAATCGAAAACAATATCAATCAGTCAAGGTGCTTGCAACCAAGCTGTAGCGGACACGAACGTGCCTCGCGTCGGCAGGCCGTGAGTGAGCGGTGACATCAGAGTCATCGCAGCCACGCAATGCAAGCCTTTGGCGTCCAGGCCATTGGCAGCGGCCACTACTCGCCGCTACGCATTGTGATTGATGGCCGCTTGAGAGCTTGAGAGCTGCCAAGCACGGTGTCGAGCCAAGCGCCACCGACGCCGAGATGTATCGACGGCTGCGCACGCATCCACCCTTTGGTAGACGAAGGCTCGCGGGGGTGATTCGAAGGCGAGCCGCAAGCTAATCTCAGCCGGATGCGTACTATTAAAACTCTAGTCGCGGGTTATCTGTCCATCTCGAGCTTGTCCATGTCAGCAGATGTTCGAGGTGCGGATAGGAGGTGTCAGCGTTTAATTGTTCAGTTGCCCTTCAGCTGTCAGCAGATCATGCACAGCAAACGCCGCTGACGACTTTGCCACTGGCAGCGGACACCGCCTTGGCCGCCACAACCTTCTTGGAGGGGCAAGTAGCCATTGTAGCTGCTGGATGGAGCAAATGGGAGTGAGTAGTTGGAGTGAGAAACTTCTATAGCCACTAGTGCGATTGACATACGTAATGGGCAGACGAGCAGAAGACTGATGATTCCTGTGCGGCGGTCCCCAAGTCCGACCTGTCTCTTGCCTCCTGATTCGGCGCCACTGGCTGCGTGCAGTGGTAGCGGTGGGAGCGCCGAGAGAGGCGGCGGAGCGGGATACGGCTTCTGGTTTGCGTGTGGAGAGCTGTGCGGCGTCACACGCTCGCGGCTTGCGGCTTGCGGTCTTGCGGCTTTGCGGGGTTCAGAGTGCTGGAGCCGGATGACCCGGAGCGACCGGGAAGCTTAACCGCTCCTCTCCCCTTATGACGCATCAACGGCCGCTGCAGCGTATCGCGGCGCTGGAAGCGCTAGGACAACGACACAAGAACAGACCTTTCGAGTAGCTCGGGAGTAGTCCGCTCAGAACGGCGAATGACCAAGACGCACAAAGGAAGCAGAGGTGCTCTTACGTCAGACGAGCTCCGCTTGATCTTCAGGGCAAACGCGTGGCGTCCCTTGGCGATCCCTGGGTCCGAACCCTGAGTCCACCACCGCACAGCTCCTTCGACGGACGGGGGGAAGACGGACGAGACGGACAATGGCTGGATTTTGACCTAGCCGCCATGCTGGCTATTGGTCGCAAGACGCACCGCGAGCGGAGTGACGTTCGTTCAGCCAGAGGCGCGAGTTGGTGAAAATGGCGGTCGGACAATCATCGGAGCAGCGTCGACTGACGTCTGCGAACTGCTAGCTGCACAGCTGCATGCAGGATACATGGGAGGGGTGCGAGTGTGAGAATGGCCTCGGAATATAGGCCAGGGGACAACGCGAGACGATGCTTTTGGAGATGGAGCGATATGAAGCGCGAGTTAGCGAGATGAGCTGAGCGCCAAGTGGGCTGGACACCAGCCGTAGCGTCAGCCACGGCTTGCGCACGGCTGGGGTCTCACGTCTCTGGAGAGCTTGGAGTGCCCCCGGGCGTTGCAGGCTTTGGCAGGCGTTTGGGGCTGCGATTCGGCACGTTGAGATGTCACAAGTTACACGCTCAATTTACTAGTGCCTCTCCAAACCCAGGCTGAAGCAAGTGCGGTGGGCTTATACAGCTGGTGTTTCGTGCGTTTCGTCCGTAGACAGCAAACTAGCAAACAGTGTCACCGCTGTCGGCACGCTCCGCCAGTTCTAAGGACAGACTGCAGTCATGTCTGCTGTACACATCGGCGAAACAAGGACACGGCGGAAGTGCACTGCTCCACGCTCCCTCCTTGTCTCGCTCCATGCTTCTCGTTCAGGACAGGATGGTCGAGTGACAGACGCGCTCCCTGCTCCCTGCCGCCTCGACGCCTCCTGCAATATTGCTTCCACTCCTGCGGCGCAGGCCAGAAGGCTAGCAGGCTGTTTGCACAGGGTCGAGTTTCCGGGCACACAAACATGTTGACACCTGTGCCAGCCTATCGTGTGCACGCGTGTTCCGGAAGGCAGAGCGCCGGTGCCGTCGGTTGGTTCCAGTGCGCATCGCAGAATTAGTCCAGCAGCCCATGGTCGCCCTTTAGCTCGCGATAGCTCGATTCATCCGGCCCTGCACTGATCGCTGCCAGCCTAATGGGCATGCATGCGCACATCGTCACATCACGCGGGCTGAGTGTCCGTTATGCTTGACTCGTCCATTCAGAAAACAAAGTTCACAGCATTGGCGTGTCTTGCCACAAGCGCGACCGAAGATTTCAGACGGCCGTCACAGCTGCGAGATGCTTCCTGCGACATGCAACGACGCTCCTGCTCCCCTACACACGCAACAAACGGCGGCCAAAGCTACCGCTTTTGCTGCCGCTGCAACCCCCGGAATTCTGGCTGACACGATGCGGCACCCCGGCTCTCCGGCCGGCGCATGCTCGACGATTCGCTGGGGGGCCTGTCGGGCGTTACTATATTCCGCTACAGACTTTTCCCTAATACTGCAACGCCGAGTAATTCCAGGCACGGTCAGGCACAGCCTGACGTGTACATGAGGTGGACTGTGATACGCCATGTTCCCTTACGTCAGGGTCATTTGCTTCCGCGACGCCACCACGACTCGTTGCAACGAGTTGCAACTCATGTCCTTGCAACTCGATCCTTCTTACAAGCCGCCATCCACCCCGAAATAACGCGTTTCTGACCAATCTGACTGCAGAAATGGACTCCGACGAAGAA